CAGTGTGGCGGCCATTGGAGGGTGAACCAATGGCAAGGGAAGACCTTTCTCTCTGTCTCTCTCTCTCTCACTGTCCACTCTGCCTGTCAAAAAAAAATAAAAATAAAAAAAAAAAAGAATGAATATAGGGGCCGCCGCCTACAGTGCCAGCATCCCATTTTGGCACCAGTTCCTCTCCCAGCTGCTCCACTTCCGATCCAGCTCTCTGCTATGGCCTGGGAAAGCAGTGGAAGATGGCCCAAGTCCCTGGGCCCCTGCAACCACATGGGAGACCTGGAGGAAGTTCCTGGCTCCTGGTTCCTGGCTCTGGATCAGCACAGCTTCCACCGTTGCGGCCATCTGGAGAGTGAATCAGCAGATTGAAGACCTCTCCCTCTCTCTCTGCCTCTCCTTCTCTCTCTGTGTAACTCTTTCAAGTAAAATAATAAAAAATAAATAAAGAAAGAAGAATGAATATAATACAAACTCCCAAAAAATGCTATAACCTAGAATTTTACATGATACTATTCTTGCTTGGCAAATTAGCATGATAGTATGACACCATTTAATTTTTTTTTTTTTTTTTTTTTTTTTTGACAGGCAGAGTGGACAGTGAGAGAGAGAGACAGAGAGAAAGGTCTTCCTTTGCCATTGGTTCACCCTCCAATGGCCGCCGCACTGCAGCCGGCACACTGCGCTGATCCGAAGGCAGGAGCCAGGTGCTTCTTCCTGGTCTCCCATGGGGTGCAGGGCCCAAGCACTTGGGCCATCCTCCACTGCACTCCCGGGCCACAGCAGAGAGCTGGCCTGGAAGAGGGGCAACCGGGACAGAATCTGGTGCCCCTACCGGGACTAGAACCCAGTGTGCCGGCGCCGCAAGACGGAGGATTAGCCTAGTGAGCCACAGCGCCGCCCCGACACCATTTAATTTTAAAACCTTCAATATACTGCCACAGTGTTCAAGATTCACCATGCATTTGTCCACAACAAATCCTAAGACACACACTCCTGCCTCCTTCCAGGCTACAAGCTCGCAGAGGTATTTCTTCTTCACAGGTTGGTGTGCTTTATTCTTCACACATCCCACACTACAACTATTGCCGACATGAGCCTCTCCTGCCTGGAATGAACACACTGTGGCTCCGGAGACATTCTCCTGAAGCCCTGGTGTGCACCAAATCCCTGCCTCACAGTGTGTACATACACACAGGTCCTGTACCTCCTCAAAGAGCATACAGAGACATACATACAGTGTGCCAGTTTATAACCTCTTACCAAAAGTTGACTGCTCTCTCAATTTCAGTCAAAGTTCTTACTCTTGGGAGGAATACTAAACTGGCTACAAAGTTTTAGATTTACATGATCTTTTTACAAAGACTACGTCAAATCTTAGTCATAGATTCCCACTAAATGGGACATCTAACTCACAACTTCTTAGGGTAAGTATCAAGAATTTATAAAACTTTCATTTATTTCATTAATCCTACCAGCTGAGGAGACTTTTTTTATTTAAAAAAAGAATCCTTTATCATTTCATAAGAATTAGTGAATGTGATGGCGCTAAATGACTAGCTTCAGCACCTTTCTCACTGGGTACTTACTGCAAGCTCGCTTATAAACTGGTAAGGAAGTCACGATATACATAATAACAAAGGTAACCTGTGCATTTACTGGAAGTGTTTCCCTACATGCCAGTAATATGCAGCTGATAGCTCTGGAAAGTCAAGACAGTCCTCTTCACACTTTAAGAACATGCTGACAGAGCCAGTGAGGAAGCCAGTCTCCTGAGACTGCTTGGACTCAGAGTCACCGAGGAGGAGAACCCCACAAGAAGAACCAAAATGCTCCACTCAGTACACAGCATCCGACTGGATTTTATAAAAATCTATTATTCCGAGCTCACCCCTTCCTACAAATTTTCTATAATAATACACAAAATATATGCACCAATCCAAAAAAAAAAAAATAGCCCTATGGAACTTGTTAGGATTACTGGCCAGGGACAGCGCTGTGGCTCACTTGGCTAATACTCCGCCTGTGGCACCGGCACCGTGGGTTCTAGTCCCGGCTGCTCCTCTTCCAGCCCAGCTCTCTGCTGTGGCCCAGGAGTGCAGTGGAGGATGGCCCAAGTGCTTGGGCCCTGCACCCCATGGGAGACCAGGAGAAGCACCTGGCTCCTGGCTTTGGATCAGCGCAGCACCAGCCATAGCGGCCATTCGGGGGGTGAACCAATGGAAGGAACACCTTTCTCTCTTTCTCTCTCTCTCTCTAATGCTGCCTGCCCCCCCCCCCAAAAAAAAGATTACTGGCCAGGCTTTTCCTGATAACATTACATCAGTGTCATATATCTCTGCATTGTACATGAACGAAAAGATTAAGATGCTGTGGTAAAATTCTCTGTAAAATGGTTCCTCATAAATGAGCTTAAATATAGATCTTGCCAGATTCAGTTTATCATTCCATGAGGGCCTAAATCCAGCTGACAGGAGTGCCAAAAGAGTTACAGAGCATTGCTAACACAAAAAGAAAGAGAAAAAGCAAAACCAAAATGCAGTCACTTAAACTAAGCACCAGGAACTGCCCAGACCATCTGTCAGAACAGACATAGGTGGTGAGGCCTGATAAGGACTAGCGGGACATTACATCATAAGAAGAAGCCAACCAGCTAGCGACTGCATTACTTCACCCACACTACTGCACCACGACTGGTCACACCCAGACACCAACATCTGGTTGGTGACACCCTAAAAGGTGAGTTTGTGATTGGTGACACACCAGGTCATCTTCATCGCCCACCTACCCCAGAGAGGGGACAAAAAGGCAAGCCTCACAACTGCTCTTCCTCCCTCGGGGATCATGGCTCAGGGCCAGTGAAACTCTGCCTCAGTCTCCACTGACTGAAGCTCTGCTCACCACTCTGCTGGAGCCCACCTCGCCTGGACGTCCCAGCCGCTGCCGGAACTGACATCGGAGCCGGACCGGACCTCTCAGCAGGTGACCTCTCTGACCCTTCACCTTGCTTTTCACCTTGGAACTTCGAGCTTACTGCCCTGAGTGCCAGTCAATCCAAGACTCCTGCCTGTAAGTGACTGTTCTGAGATTCACCTCTGCGAGTAGTAACGGAGACTTTGGACTCTGGACTGTAACTTTTTCGTGACTGTGACAGGAACCCTGAGAACGCAGCATTCATATTACATCCTTAGCCTTGAGTGTTTAGATTGGTTATGCTTTTACGCTTTTATGCTTTGTATGTGATAAGTGGTGCTTGCAACAGCTAACCAAGGTAGTAAAAAAAAAAAAAAAACACAAAAAAGGCCATTTTAGGTATCTAAAACTGAAAAGACAAAGATAAACAGGTGAACTAGGAGTCAGGAGACTTATCACAAGTAAACTGCTTTGGGAAATGGGGCATGGCATAGTCGTCATTTTCCAAATTAAGAAAATGGGTTTCGGGGCCGGCGCCGTGGCTCACTAGGCTAATCCTCCGCCTAGCGGCGCCGGCACACCGGGTTCTAGTCCCGGTCGGGGCGCCGGATTCTGTCCCGGTTGCCCCTCTTCCAGGCAAGCTCTCTGCTGTGGCCCGGGAGTGCAGTGGAGGATGGCCCAGGTCCTGGGCCCTGCACCCCATGGGAGACCAGGAGAAGCACCTGGCTCCTGCCATCGGATCAGCGCAGTGCACCAGCCACAGCATGCCGGCTGCGGCGGCATTGGAGGGTGAACCAACGGCAAAAGGAAGACCTTTCTCTCTGTCTCTCTCTCTCACTGTCCACTCTGCCTGTCAAAAAATAAATAAATAAATAAATAAATAAATAAATAAATATAAAAAACTTGAAAAATAAAAGAAAATGGGTTTCTTAAGTTACAGATCCCCAACCAGGGTGACAATGGGGCCAACAAGGAGAGGGTAAAGCTACACTGTCAAGATTCACAACTCCTGTTGTCTTGCTTTGTAAAACTTAACATGCAAATATGAAAGCAGATTTCATCATTAGCTAGGAATCACTGGTAAGAAAACAAAGGGCATACACTGAAGATGGCAAACAGTCCAGTACATCGACACTGGAAATGAACGTGTTGGGGCCCGGCTACGTGGGATTTGGCAGCTCCTACATATGGATTGAGTGAAACCACACTTCTTAATAAGCAAGAGTCATACCAAAGGTAGTGAGCAAACAAGTGACAACACAGAAAAGAAACGGAGACACACTCAACTGGAAAAAAGATCCATACAATTATAATTCTATTCTAACTACAGACCATCTGGACATCTAGGACACTAAGAGGCTCAGTTCTGCTAAAAGGTCTGTAAGGCAGACTCCAGAAATTCAAATTTATTTTGCTCATATAATTACAGTATTTATGAAATGATATGTGTAAAAGCAAATCTTCATTTGTTAATTCTGAAAATTTTACTTGCTTCCAAACTATACTACAAATTTTTTTTTTTTTATCTTTTATTTAATGAATATAAATTTCCAAAGTACGACTCATGGGTTACAATGGCTTCCCCCCCATACCGTCCCTCCCACCCACAACCCTCCCCTTTCCCACTCCCTCTCCCCTTCCATTCACATCAAGATTCATTTTCGATTATCTTAATATACAGAAGATCAGCTTTATACTACAAAATTTTAAAAGCTTTGGTAATGACACTCACCAAGAAAAAGGTATTATGTAAATTGAACTTTTATGTAGTCAAATTATTCAATTATTACTTATCAATATGATTGTTCCAAAGAAGAGCAGAATAAACCTTAAATTTTGTAAAACATGTAAAATCCAAGATCTCAGAATGTAAGCCAGATGAAGCTCCTACGTTCTATACTCATTTTATCCAAAGCAACCCTAGACACGTTTTGTGAATTCTAACCTATTCACTTGTTGCTATATCATTTAGAGAAGCTTTAAGAAATGGAAAACAAACCAAGCCTGACTTTCTTCAAACTTTTAAAGGCACACAAGTAATAGGAAAGTGAGGCACTTCTTTTACATTCCTGTCAACATAAAGAAAACACACTCACTGCTGGTTTTTTTCATTCAGAGCATTCATGCCCTGGAGATCAGAAAGAGGTGTTCTGGGACTTTTCCGGGTTATATCTAGCAAGAGAAAAAAAAAAAAAAAAAAAAAAAAATTTCAAATGAGTACTGAGAGAAATTACACATGAAACAAGTTTACTAAAACAATGAAATTAATGTATTTTCAATAGCAAATGTTTGTGAAATATGACAGAAACATCTAAATAACACGAACTAAGTCCCATAACTGTGTTTACAAATGCTCCCAATTAGAGAACTTAATAACAAACTCTTAATTCTTCTTCCTTTCTTAAAGCTAATTTGGTTTATTTGAAAGACAGAGCTATGGGGGTAGGAATGGCAGGGAGAGAGATGGACCAATCTTCCCTCTGCTGGTTCACTACCCAAATAGCCAGTACCAGGGCTGGGCTAGACAGAAGCCAGGACCCAGGAGCTTCATCTGGGTCTCCCACGTGGGTGCTGCTTTTCCAGCCATTAGCAGGGAGCTGGACTGGAAGTAGATTCGCTGGGACACAAACTGCTGCCCAGATGCGATGCCAGCATCATAGGCAGCAATTTAACCCACCTAAGCCACAATACCAGCCAAAGTATTTCTTCTTTCCTTTAAACAGTAACCTCAGGAAACATGAGTGAAACCAGGAAGACGGTCTAGAAGTAGACAAACACCCTTTTTTATCTTCAAATCCCCCTCCCCAAATTTTACAAAATTTACTTTGCATCATTTTTCAGCAATAAATTTACTGACAACATGGACTATAAACTTCAGAGATCAATCGACCTTAAAGAGAAAGGCACTGTTGGAGCTATTGTTAAGGCACAGCAGGTTAAGCTGCTGCTTGAAGGGCCAGCATCCCAGAGAGGCACTGGCTCATGTCTCAGCTGTTGCACTTCTGACCCAGATCCCTGATAATGCAGCTGGGAAAGCAATGGAAGAGGGCCCAAGTGCTTGGACCCCTGCCACCCATGTGGGAGACTCAGCTGGAATTCTAGGTTCCAGGCTTCCACCTGGTCCATCCACAGCTGTTGTGGGCACTTGGGGAGTGAACCATCAGATGGAAGATATCTTTCTCTCTATCATTTTCTCTCTCAAACTCTGCCTTGGAAGGAAAGAAGAGAAGGGAGGGAAGGAGGGAAGGAGGGAGGGAAGGAGGGAAGAATCAAAGATGACTTTTTCCTTAAGGACTATGAATATTTAAAACAGGGGATGGGCATTACAGCAAAGCAGGTTAAGCCACAGCTTGCAATGTCAGCACCCACACTGGAGCACTGGTTCATGTTTCAGATGCTCCACTTCTGATCCAGCTCTGATTGTGCACCTGGGAAAGCAGCAGAAAACAGCCCTGGAAAACACCCCAAGGACTTGGAGCTCTGCCACCCACATGGGAGACAGGGATAGAGCTGGCCCAGCCCTAGCAGTTGCAGCCATTTAGGGAGCGAACCAGAAGATGGAAGATTTTTCGCTCTTTGTCACTCCCTCTTGCTGTCACTTATGCCTTTCAAATTAATCAAACAAATCTTAAAGATTTAAAGATATCATTTTCACAAACTGTAAGATAAAAACTTAAGTTTTGTAATGTAAGGCTGGCTCAAGTTTCTCAACATATATATCAAGCATTTAATGTAAGGAAAAATAGGAAGGAAAAAATCTCTTTAGCTGAGATGACATAATCTACAAAAATTCTAAGGAATCCAGAAAAATCTACTGAGACTAAAAAATGAGTTCAGCACAATTCCAAGAAACAAGATCATTCTGCAAAAATCAATGATATTTCTGTAAAATGACAATAAATACAAGAGTGAAATTAAGAAAATAACTCCATCAACAGCATCAAAAGAACAGGAATAAGTTTAACAAGAAGTTACAAGACATCGACAACCAAAAATAGAAAACATCCTTAAAAAAATTTATGGAAGAGCTAAATCAACAGAATGCCATCAACGTTCATGAATTGGAAAACTAAAAGAGCAATGCTCCTCACATTAATGTCATCTCTATTAAAATCCCAGATACCTATTTTGCAGAAACAAGCAGGCTGATCACAGCATTCCTATAAAAGGCAAGAGACCCAGGAGAGCCCAAACAACCTCGCAAAGAAGGTTGAAGCATTCACATTTCCTATACAAAACCAACTACAAAGATACCAACCACGCCAGTCAATGGAAAAGAAATGTCAGTCAGCAACAAAGCTTCACACTTCATGATCCATTTCTGTTAAGACTTCCAAGACACTCAGTGGAAAAAGAGAACCTTTTCCAACAAACACCATGTGAAAACTAACCACATGCAAAGGACGAAGGTGGAGGACAGGTGTTAGGAGCAGCCTGGTTCAAGTCCTGGCTACTACACTTCTAATCCAGCTCCCAGCTGATGCACACCCTGGGAGGTAGCAGCTGATGGCCCGAGTACTTGGATGCCTGCCACCAACATGGGAGACCCAGCCTGAGCTCTGGCAAATTTCAAAAAGAACAACGGAGCTCAGATTCAAAGGTACTACAAGTCACCAGCAGGGTAAACACAAGCAGAAATTGTGATCTAGAGACCCTGAAGTCAGACTGCTGACAAACAAAAATAGAGAAAAAGTCTGAATGCATCCAGAAAGGACAAAGGTAGATTCTATGTAGGGAAATGATAACAGGATGACATTTGAGTTACTCTTTACAAATAGTAAACGTCAAAAGAAAATGAAACTTCTCCCAAGTGCCAGAAGTTTAGCAACGCTTAATGATATTAACCGTATGAGAAATAATACATGAAACTCTGTGAAACAGCAACTCCACTCAGAAAAGTACTCAGCTGAGGAATGAACACAATGACACTGACAAGAATGTTTAGAGCACCAGGGTTCCTCACAACAGCTCTGACAGTACACTATTGTTAAATTCATTAAACATTTGTTGTATATACTAGCTTGTGGCAAAAACTGGCATTAAAAGGTAATGTGCGGCCGGCGCCGTGGCTCAATAGGCTAATCCTCCACCTTGCGGCGCCGGCACACCGGGTTCTAGTCCCGGCCGGGGCACCGGATTCTGTCCCATTTGCCCCTCTTCCAGGCCAGCTCTCTGCTGTGGCCAGGGAGTGCAGTGGAGGATGGCCCAAGTCCTTGGGCCCTGCGCCCCATGGGAGACCAGGAGAAGCACCTGGTTCCTGCCATCAGATCAGCGAGGTGCGCCGGCAGCAGCGCGCCAGCCGTGGCGGCCATTGGAGGGTGAACCAACGGCAAAGGAAGACCTTTCTCTCTGTCTCTCTTTCTCACTGTCCACTCTGCCTGTCAAAAAAAAAAAAAAAAAAAAAGGTAATGCGCCTGTTCCATGAACTTTGTGAAGTCCTTTGTACAACTGCATATACATACACAATGAAATACAAATGAGCAGCAAATTACTGATAGTCAGAGTAACACAGCTGAATGTGAATGATCACGTTGCATCAAAGAGTAAAGCAAAAGCACACATACATAGAAAAGGTAAAATGAATTTATAGCATCAAATCTTAAAGGAGGTGGGAAATGTAGAAGAGAACAAGAACACATTTTCTGATATAACTTTTGGCTAATATTTTTATTTTTTAAAAAATATTTTATTTATTTGAGATAGAGTCATAAAGAGAGGGAGAGACAGAGAGAGAGGCCTTCCATATGCTGGTTCACTGTCCAGATGGCCACAGCGGACAAAGCTGGCCAATCCAAAGCCAGGAGCCCGGAACTCTTCCAGGTCTCCCACCGAGGCACAGGGGCCCAAGGACTTGGGCCATCTTCCTCTGCTGTCCCAGGCCACAGCAGAGAGCTGGATTGGAAGAGGAACAGCAGGGACGTGAAGTGGTGCTCACACAGGATGCTGGTGCCGCAGGAGGAAGCTCCGCCTAGGGCACCATGGCCAGCCCCGGCTCTTAACCTATTCTTCTCTTTTTTTAAGATTTATATTTTCTTGAAAGGCATGGTTATGAGAGAGAGAAGGAGAGACAGAGATCTTCCATCTGCTGGTTCACTCCTCAAATGGCCGCAGTGACTGGGTTGGGCTAGTCTGAAGCCAGGAGACAGAAGCTTCTTCAGGGTCTCCCATGTAGGTGCAGAGAACAAAAGCACTTGGGCCATCCTCTGCTGCTTTCCCAGGCCATTAGCAGGGAGCTGGATCAGAAGAAGAGCAGCCAGGACACAAACCAGTGCCCATACAGGATGCTGGCACCAAGGGAATTACCTGCTACGCCACAGCACTGTCCCCATTAAGTACAAATCCTATGGAAATCCTTTAATTATTGAAAAATTTCACTTTCAAGTCATTTATATTAAATAGTAGTATTTGTTTCTGGCATTGTATTTCATGTTCTTCATCTATTTCAGATTCATCTATTTAAGATTTATTTATTTATTTGAAAGGTATAGTTACAGAGCAAGAAGGACAGAGTAAAAGAGAGCTCATCCATCTGCTGGTGCACTCCACAAACGGCCTGAAAGGCCAGGAACCAGGAGCTTCATCTGGGACTTGGGCCATCTCCCACTGCTCTCCCAGATGCTTTAGCAGGGAGCTAATGAGAAGTGGAGCTCATCAGAACAGAATCTGGGGCCCACACGGGATGTCACTGCTACAGGCAGCAGCTTAACCCACTGCACCACAACACTGGCCCCATATTTCACTCTTGAAACTCATTTTTTTCCCTTCTTAGCTTTCATTTTCTAAAGATTTCTTATGCTACTTTAAAGATATAATTACATAATTTGTTATTATAGTTATCCTTAAAGCACACATCAAGTTTATTTACCTGTTATAGTTTTTTAAACTTAATACATAACCATATTCTGCCAATCCAGGAGAAATGTAGCTGGCTGCTTTTCTCGAAATCTTCACCAATATACATGATAGCCGCCTCTTATACTTTTCTCTGTCCATGATTTTCAAACCATTTCATGGACCACTATTTTATATATTCTTAATTTTATGAAAAATACTCTTATCTACATGTCCATCTGTGACTTTATCAATGTTACCCGTGGGAGGGTTCATTCACCTTTCCCATTTAGCAATTCACTTCTTTTTTATTAAAGATTTATTTATTTATTTATTTTTAAAGTCAGAGTTACAGACACAGAGGAAGAGATCTTCCACCTGCTGGTTCACTTCCCAGATGGCCCCAACAGCAAGCGCTGGGCCAGGCTGAAGCCAGGATCTTCTTCAGGTCTCCCAGGTGGGCAGCAGAAGCTCAGGTACTTCGGTCATCATCTGCTGCTTTCCCAGGCCACAGCAGGGTCCGAAGTGGTGCAGCCAGGACTCGAACCAGCACCCACATGGGATTTTGGCAACATAAGCAGTGACTTTACCTCCTATGCCACAACACTGGCCCCAAAAAGGAATATCTAGAGCCAGCACTATGGCATAGTAGGTAAAGCTTCTGCCTTCAGTGCCGGCATCTGATATGGGCGCCAGTTCAAGTCCCGCCTGCACCACTTCTGATCCAGCTCTCTGCTATGGCCTGGGTAGGCAGTAGAAGATGGCCCAAGTCCTTGGGCCCCTACACCCATGTTGGAGACTCAGAAAAAGCTCCTGGCTCCTGGCTTCAGGTCAGCACAGTTCCGGTCATTGCAGCCAGCTGGGGAATGAACCAGCAGATGGAAAAATCAATCTATCAATCTCTCTCTCTCTGCCTCTCCTTCTCTCTGTGTAACTCTGACTTTCAAATACATAAATAAATCTTAAAAAAAAAAAAAAAAAGGAATATGTGATAGACTAGCTGGTAGTGAGTTTTTTAAGAACAATCTCTCGGTCAGCGCCGCGGCTCATTAGGCTAATCCTCCGCCTTGCGGCGCCAGCACACAGGGTTCTAGTCCCGGTTGGGGCGCCGCATTCTGTCCCGGTTGCCCCTCTTCCAGGCCAGCTCTCTGCTGTGGCCCGGGAGTGCAGTGGAGGATGGCCCAAGTGCTTGGGCCCTGTACCCCATGGGAGACCAAGAGAAGCACCTGGCTCCTGCCATCGGATCAGCGCGGTGCGCTGGCCGCAGCGCGCCGGCCGCGGCGGCCATGGCGGCCATTGGAGGGTGAACCAATGACAAAGGAAGACCTTTCTCTCTGTTTCTCTCTCTCTCTCACTGTCCACTCTGCTTGTCAAAAAATTAAAAAAAAAAAAAAAAACAATCTCTCAAACTTGAATTTATCATTCTATATATTATGAAATTTTCTCATTGTTAATACTATAGAAGAGGCCGGCGCTGCAGCTCACTAGGCTTATCTTCCTCCTCTGGCGCCACGGCACCCCGGGTTCTAGTCCCGGTCGGGGCGCCAGTTCTGTCCCAGTTGCTCCTCTTCCAGTCCAGCTCTCTGCTGTGGCCCAGGAGTGCAGTGGAGGATGGCCCAAGTGCTTGGGCCCTGCACCTGCATGGGAGACCAGGAGGAGGCACCTGGCTCCTGGCTTCAGATCGGTGCAGCGCACAGGCCATAGCAGCCCTTTGTGGGGTGAACCAACATAAGGAAAACCTTTCTCTCTGTCTCTCTCTTTCTCACTGTCTAACTCTGCCTGTCAAAACAAAACAAAACAAAACAAAAAACTGTAGAAGAAAATGGAATAAACTACATAATGGAAAACGCCAACATGCAAAAACTAGAAATCCACACATAAACACAGTCTCTTCATTCGACCTGTGCTGCCATCAGTACTTTCCTATTCTGGACCCAAACCTGGTAATCAGGCCTGGGCTCGTCAGGCTGAGCCATGATAAAAACAAATCAAATGCCCCACTTGCAATCCTATTAAGACTTGAAAGAATGTAAGCTCCCCCCAAAAGATTTATGGATTGCTTTAAATAATGTCTCATGGATTAAAACATTTAGAATGTAAGTGGGTAATTAGAATGAGGACTTATAGGGGCCAGCATCATGGCGCAGTAGGTTAATCCTCCATCTGTGGTGCTGGCATCCCATATGGGTGCCGGTTCGAGACTTGGCTGCTCCACTTCCCATCAAGCTCTCTGCTATGGCCTGGGAAAGCAGTGTAGTATGGCCTAAGTGCTTGAGTTCTTGCACCCATGTAGGAGACCTAGAAGAAGCTCCTGCCTTCAGCCTGGCTCAGCCCTGCTGCAGCCATTTGGAGAGTGAATCGGCAGATGGAATATCTCTCTCTCTCCCTCTCTCTGGAACTCTGCCTATTAACGAAATATAATAAACCTGTTTTAAAAAACAAACAGTAAGGATTAAGAACTATTAAAGATGTCTTTTCTAAATTAAATACTTACCTTTTTTCTACTGAAAATGAGAAAATATTTATAATACTATTTTTCAAAATGCATTACATTTTCATCATACCCAAGCAGCAAAATAAGAGAAACTGACAAAGCAACCCATAATACTTGCTTTTAGGAATTCTATTTATGTTCTCATTTCACATGGTAGCACACTAAAATTTCATGGTATTTCAACCAAAAAATTGTGAAATTAGCAAGCTAAAAGATCAGAATATTGTGCAAGTAATTTAGGTCCACTATAAAGAAATTGCTGAGTTAGGCCTTGAGTGTTCGGAAGAATCCATTTATTCTCTTAATAGCAGTAGCCCAGTAACTGTAATCTCACAACAGGCAAAAGAACCGATTTTCATGCAGAATGAGTATAACTATGAGCAAAGAAGGAAATGGAGACCAAGGGCATCTTTTTAAACCAATTTTATAAAAAGGCAGACAAAACAGGATGCATGCCATGATTCTATTATTCTTCCTTAAGACAAACCATCAATGTGGTGGGTTTGTTCCAACCAACACAGGAACTGAATGGAGCACTACAACCAAGTGGGTTTACTATTTGCTGATAAACAACACTGTTGGTGTTCAAAATTCAGTATAAGCTAAGCATAAAAATCAGAGGGTTTAGAAAGGGGTTTGGGGGAACTTTGTTGAGTGCTTGATTATGCTGATAATTTCATGGGCACTTACAAATGTGGAAACTTACCAAATTGTTCTCTTTGCATTCACTTTTATGTCAACTAGACATGAATAAGTTTTTGAAAAAAAAAATGATCAGAAAAAAATGTTCATTTTTACCCATGACTTGCTACTATAAAGGTGAAAATGGACACAAACTCAGTGACTGTAGCCAATTATAATCCACAACAATAATCACAGGCAGACAGGAAAGTCACCAAGTTAAGAGATCATGTTTTTACTTTAGTCTCAATGGCAATATCCTGACACAGAGCAAACGATTAGGGAGGCCATGTCACCCATCCAATCGGGGTCCCACCCTGTACAGAATGCGCCTGGTTTCCATTTCCCAGTGGATGCATGATGACAGAGTTTATCAGGATTTGCCGCCTTACTGTACTTCTCTTCCTTGCACCTCTGCAGAATCTCTAAGCTCCTCTGGTGGACTGGGTGTTGCAGAAAGCTAAAACTATCCATGCTTTTCAAAACTGTACATGGCGCTGTATCATCATGTCCTTAGGAAGCAAAAGAAAAACAAAAAAAGGAGAAAAGAAAGACATTATACGAGCCCAAACCAAGAGACTCAAAAGCAATGCTGCCAACTATCTTAACCATGTAGAAAATGCATCAAATAATAGAAGTTAAATATGAAAGATTTTTCCAATTAATCTGAGGAAATTATATGAAAATAAAAGGGAAAAGGAAAGGTCCTTTTTAGATATTCAAAATGTCCTTTTAAATAAAATGTTGAATATTAACACCATATTTACATTTTTTAAATTAAAATACTAGGGAAAAATTTTTTAAAAATCTGTATGATTGAAATTTTTAGATTTCTTTTTATGAGGTCTGATATATCATTAGCATATAGTTGGCAACACCACAAGGAATACTGATGGAACCCCAAAGAGAAATATGCACAAAACGATTTACCACAAGTTAAAAAATTCTTCCACAAATCCTGCAATTAACCACACTTGTAGGAATTCCAACAAGTGTGTCAATGACGTGTGAAGTATGAAAAAAAGCACTACAGAGCAGGAAAACCCAGCAGCAGCTCTGTACTTGTCGATCTGAACACAAAGCCAGAGCGTGCTCCTTACCACCACTTCCTAGGAAAGTGAGACAGAGACCAGCTGCCAGCAGGAAAGGAGAAAGACCAAATTCCCAGATCAGTGTGCCGAAGCTGTGTGTGAGCAGCTTTAGCAAGAAACACTGGGGCAAGCAGTCAGCATCACAAACAACAGCAAGGAATGGATGTAAAAGAGCAAACGAGGCTTCCAGGCCTGGGGGGGCTGTGCAGCATTTACAGAGAGACGCCTCCACAGTGAGGCACAGGGTTCAAGTTTAAATAGATTTTCCTTTAAAACAAAAAAGTGCATAATTTAACAATACACAAATTGAGCAACACATAAACATGAAATAAAGTTCCACTACTACATTTTACTGTGTAATTAGGAATGAGATAAAAGAGAACAGCCTATGAAGAGTTCTTAAGTCAGAATCATTTTTCAGCGGTAACAACTTTCATTTCATGTTAATAGTGTAACTAAAAACACTAACTCCTAGCTGGCAATAGATTAGAGAGAATCAAGAGCTCTGTGAAGGGGAAAAAAACAACCAAACATGAAAAAAAACCTCCCGCAGGACACCTGATCTTCCTTCTTACTTTATACCCTAAACTTGTAAATGTTTTATAAATACATGACCACTCGACACAAGACAGATCTTCTGGAGAATTTCTAAAGGAAATCATAGTTTTTGGTCGTAAGGAGTAGGACTAAGATGGCAAAGGTGAAAATAGTGAAATCTGAGGAAGCAGCACATTCTCTCTACAGATAAGCGAGCTGCGGTTCATGCAGCCAGGTTCACAGGTTCACTTCAACACATCATCTTCAGGGCAACTAAGAAATCAGGATGCATATATTTCCCATGCTCCATAAACAAGTGCTGCTTTTTGTGATTTTTTGCAAAAGTAAATGAAAAATAAATAGTGGGAACAAAGTTTCCATCCCCAAATTCACATAAACAAATCAAAATATAAGCTAGTTTTAGACCACCCAGTGAAACAGAACCGTGGATACCACCTGAGACAGGCACTACTACCTAGGCAGTTCAAAACAGGACTCAAAAAAACAAATACACATCATTATGCCTTAAACAACTAGAAAGCATTTCATTACTGTTCAACATACCAAATTTAATGAAATCCTAAGTGAACAGATTTCTAGGACATGTACCTTAATGGTGTATCTGAATCATAAGTAGCAATAAAATAACAAAATCAAAACTGCTATGAAAGTAAAATCATCATTAGAGAAAATCTTAGTGTAAAAAGGGGGAGAAACAAGTGTGAAGTACTATCGCTAACCATCGGAAGACAGAATCTGTGCTTGTGGAGGACAGTGTGAAGAAAGATGCACCAGTTAAAAACCAACTGGAAGACTGGAAGATGTTCTTTAAAAAAGAGGCGGGAAATGGAGGACAGGCAGGCAGCAGAACTGCTGGACAGACTGGAAACGAGGTGCGCATGGACAGAGATGAAGAATTTAGGGCTAATGAATTGTTCTGTTTTTAACTCACGCCTGAAAGCCTTGAATCCTTCCTAAATATCCAGCTGTTTTGAAGGTGTACCACAGAACAAGCGGAAGTAGAACTTACTTTCAAAGCTACGGCTTTGCTGTAGGAGATGTTCCATTCATAAGGAGTTCCCTGGCAGTGGTAGCTGACCTATTATTCAATGTAGGAGAGAGAGCAAAGGGTCCAAAGCCGGGTTCATATCTTTGGGTGACAAACAGTCTAGCCTGGTTCCAGAGTTTACTTTGTGGTGGCTGGCTTCCATCTCTTGATAAAAACACGAGCAGACAAAATGAAGAATCCCTGTGGAGTTCTTCCTGGTGCTGGTGGTTCAGGAAACCCAGCCCGTGGGCCCCTCCATCCTTCACTTTCCCGTCGTGTCAAGTTGATCTTGGAGACCAGTGCTTTACAGCCAGGCTATCACAGCACTGCTTCTTCTTGTCTGTTTATTGGGTCCTGTTCCCGCAGCACCATCACTGCCTGCCTCAACCACATCACAGATTCCCAACATCAAGGCATTCATTGCCTTTTCTGAAAGCAAAGCACTACCTGGCTCCTTTTCCTTTCTGGCCTCTCGAATTTGGGCCAGGCAACTAATAGGGTTCATTCCTGGACTATATTCTGATCTGGCTTCCACCATCATTCTAGGGCCTTTTTTAAAAAAATAAATGTGACTGTTCTAACTACAGGGAGAGGTGGAAGTTTTTTAGGCTCCTGTATGACAGTGGTTGCAGCTTCTCGAGAGCTTGTTATTATCTCCCTCTCCTTCTGCAGAGAAATCTCTCAGGGACACCCACATAAAAGCTTTTCTAGTGCGGTGGCCCACTTTTTTAATAACCTCAAAACAGACGGGCATATCCAGCTTCAGAGCGATTTCAAACACTAAGCTGATCTCAGATTTATGTGCATCTTTGTCATCATCCATTCCCTTTCCAGGTGCAACATTCTGAGATGATTTTTCTGGAACCGGTTTGTTCTGCAGTGCTTGGAGGACTTCCACTGCAGCATTATGTCTAGCAGCTTGTCGAGTCTTTCCCTCACCAAAAAATTCAGTAATTGCTACAGCTGGCTGAAGACAGAAGATCTTAGGCACTGGGCAATGACACCTCTCACTGTACATGCCCAGAAAGTTTATGAGCTCTGCAACGTGGGAATGGCTTTGGATCTAATGGCCTGTAGATGGCAGGCTCTCCCCTTTCACAGCAAGCCCATTCAGGTCCACAGATGGAGATACATTGCCTGCGCTGTTGATAACATCACTTTGGGGATCACTTCTGGCCCAGTTTGGAAAGTGTAGATTCAGTAAGGCTTTATTAGCAACAGCTTTCTGGGCCTTCTTCATGCTACTGCCTGGATTCCCATGTCTGCTCGCCACGCCCCAGCTGCACTGAGAACATCTTCCAGTATGAGCAGGCTTACCTTCAACCAGAAGTCTACACTGGGGTTGGACTCTACTGAAACCAGCTAACACATTTACCAGACACACTAGGGTTTTCATTTTGGAATCTGTCATTTTATCTTGGAGAGAAACTGATATTTTCTAGTTTCAGTATAAAAGTCTTGCAATTCTCCTCTAAATTTCTTCAGAAGTATTTTATTTCTGCTGAGAGTTCTTATACATAGAAAGGAATTCAATTCTGCTTTCACATGGTGCACTAATACTGTACAACTGACTTTTGCACACTCATCCCGTGGCCTGCAGTCTGCTGACCTCACCCAGTAGCTTTCACAGTTTTGTATGAACTCCATAGCCTATTCTACATACAATGTCACATCAGCTATGAACAAAACAGTTTGCTCCTTTCAAAGGTGGATATTTTGTATCTCTTTCCTTGTATAATTGCCCTGGCCAGAATCTTGGAGACAAGCTGAACACATGAAAGCAGACATCCTTGTGTCGGTCCTGGTCTTAGGGGAAAGCATACCTTTCACCATAAACTGACACAGGCCTTGTATCACTAGTTCTTCACAGACTCCCATATCAGGGTGAAGTTCCCTTTCATTCCAGTTCTGTTTTGTGCTTTCATCAAGAATATGTCTTGGCTTCCGCCAAATTCATCTTTCAACATCTCTGAGGATGACCACGTAGTTTTTGTCTTTTATCTATCAATATGGTTCATTACAAGAGCTGATTTTCTCTTTTTAAATTTTCATTTATCTTTATTTAAGAGAAAGATCTGTCTGGTTTAAACCTATCTGCTGGTTAAATCTCCAAGGCCTGGCAACAGGCCAAAGCCAAAAGCCAAGCATTTAATCCAGGTCTCTCAAGTCGGAGGCTGGAACCCAATTACCTGAGCCATCACCTGCTGCACCTTGAAGGTACTGATTTCTTTTAATATGTTTTTTTATTTATTTATTTATTTTTTTTGACAGGCAGAGTGGACAGCGAGAGAGAGAGACAGAGAGAAAGGTCTTCCTTTGCCGTTGGTTCACCCTCCAATGGCCGCCGCGGCCGGCGCGCTGCGGCCGGCACACCGCGCTGATCCGATGGCAGGAGCCAGGAGCCAGGTGCTTTTCCTGGTCTCCCATGGGGTGCAGGGCCCAAGCACCTGGGCCATCCTCCACTGCACTCCCTGGCCACAGCAGAGGGCTGGCCTGGAAGAGGGGCAACCGGGACAGAATCCGGCGCCCCGACCGGGACCAGAACCCGGTGTGCCGGCGCCGCTAGGCGGAGGATTAGCCTAGTGAGCCGCGGCGCCGGCCCTTTTAATATGTTTTTAATTCTGTCTAATGTACTTTGGTTTTGAGTATTTAAAATTCCAGCTCTGTTAAGTTTCTCTAATACACTAATGAATCTTTCTGTGTTTTCCTGAATCTCACTGAGGTTCCCATGTTCTATTAAGATTTATTTAAGGGGGCAGCGCAGTGGCATAGAGGGTAAAGCCGCTGCCTGTGGTGCTGGCATCCCATATGGACATCAGTTTGAGGCCTAGGTGCTCCACTTCCAACCCAGCTCTCAGGTATGGCCTAGGAAAGCAGTAGCAGATGGCCCAAGTACTTGGGGCCCTGCACCCAGGTGGGAGACGAGATGGAAGCTCCTGACTCTTGGCTTCAGATTGTCCCAGCCCTGGCTGTTAACATTACTTGGGGAGTGATCCAGCGGATGGAAAACCTCTCTCTCTCTGCCTCTCTGTAACTCTGCCTTTCAAATAAATAAATAAAAATCTTTTAAATAAAAAATTATTTATTTGAAAGACAAAGTCACAAACAATGAGGGAGGGACACACAGATCTTCCATCCACTGCTTCACTCCCCAGATGGCCACAACAGCCAGGGCTGGGCCAGGACGAAGCCAGGAGCCAAGACTCCATCCGTGTTTCTCACATGGGTGGTAGAGGTCCCAGCACTTGGGGCATCATCTGCTGCCTTTCAGGTCATTAACAGGAAGCTGGATTGGAAGCAAAGCAGCTGGGACTCAAACAGGAACTTTGATATGGGATCCTAGCATTTCAAGCCATGGCTTAAGCCACAGTGACCTAACACTGGCTCCTCACTGGGTTCCTGAAAACAGCTACTGTAGGGGGTTAGTCTTATAGCACAAGTTAAGCCACCGGGTGTGGCACTGGCATCCTATTATCAGAATGCATGTTCAAGACCCTGCTACTCTGCTTCCAATCCAGCTACCCACTAATGGGGAAGGTAAAGGAAAATGGGCCAGGTCCTTGAGCCCCTGCACCCATGTGGGAGACCCAGAAGAGGCTCCTGCCTCCTGGCTCTGCATCGGCAAAACTCCAGTAGTTGCAGCCATCCGGGGAGTGAACCAGTGGTTGGAAGACCTCTCTCCCTCTCTCTGTATTTGGCTCTATGTAACTCTTCTGCCTTTCAAATAAGTAAATAAATCTTTAAATAAACAAATCTTTACCAAAACAACATCAGCAACAATTTTCGGGGCAGGTATCTGGCAAGAGGCTTTACCTGTAACTTGGGTTGCCTGCATCCCACATCAGAATGCCAGGTGTGAGTCCTGGCGACTCCAATTCCAATCCACCTTCCTAACAATGTGTATCCTAAGAGGCAGTAGACAATGGCTCAAGAACACGGGTCCCTCAAGTACTATGTTCCATGTAGGAGACACAGATGTAGTTCTGGGCTCCTGGCTTCATCCTGGTCCAGCCTGGCTGTTGTGGGAATTTCGGGAGTGAATAAGCAGATGGAAGATCTCTCTGTGGCAGTCTCTATGATTCTCTGCCTTTAAATAAAATTATTATTTCTCTTCAAAGAACAGCTATTTTAAATTCTGCAACTGAAAATTTACATGGATCAGTTGCTATATGATCCATTTCTGACACCTTATTTTGTTCACTGGGTGAGGCCATGAAAGTTCTTGATGCTCTCTAGACTGCAGCACACATAGCTGCTGATGGAAGGATCCGGAATGTTTCCCAGGCTTCCTAATTTGGGTTGTCTGTGCCTGCCTTCCTGACATCCCAAAATTTCCTTATTGTCTGTGACCTGAAGGCAGTTCTGCTTCACCAGCAGATGGCACTCACGCAGAGGCCGGGACGCCTGCTGGGGATGCAGTCTCTGTTTCACCTTTAGAGGGCGCCCCATCCAAATCCCTGCTACACACAAGAGGCTTTGCACTTACTCCTATCATCCTGTATTAATAAAAATGCATCAATACATACACAACACACATGGCACACATACATTGCTCATGTAACAACTTACCAGAACTAAAACATGATGCTAGCATACAGTAAGAGAAAAAGGTAAACATTATTATGACTTGACTCCTTGAGACGGAGTAACGGTACAAAGTCAAAGATAAAGCATGGCGGAACGTGAGTAACTGCTGCTTACCAGTTTTCCTCTGGATGTGTCTTTTCCCAGCTTCCCTGAGTGCAACCACAGCTCTGAAAAAAGCTCGGAGAACTGCCCATCGGAAAACAGCAACAGGATCGATGCCAATCATCCCAGAGATAAATGCATTCTTACTGCTCCTCAGCAGAGCTACAATGTCCGGGCGCATGTGGTCTGTGTTTTTCTCCCGGAAATCCTACATGAAATGTAATAGTATTATTTTTGAAAAAACTATTAATGTTAAGAAGATGACCGTTGGATTTTTGAAGCACAGGGGCATAGGCAACAACTTGTCCAAATAAAGAATGGAAAGGGAGAGCAAACTAGATACCGCAACACACCAGGGAAGAACTGACGGTGATTGGGTCTATCGTTCCCTAAGATTTTATCTATTTAATTGAAAGGAACAGAGGACAGAGGGGTGGAAGGGGGAAGGGGGGAGGGGAGAGAAAGATGGGCAAGAGATCTTCCATCTGCTGGTTCACTCTCCGAAAGCCCGCAATAGCCGAGGCTGAGCCAGGCCAAATCCAGGAACCAGGAACTCCAACCATTTACGTCACAGGGGTGGGAGAGGGCCAAACACTTGGGCCATCACTAGCAGTATTCCAGGCACATTAGCAAGAAGGTAATCAGAAGCAGAGTACCCAGACTAGAAACAGGCACTCTGATATGGATGTGGGGGTCCCAAACCGTGGCTTAACCCACTGTGTCATAATGCTACTGGCTGACAGTGATTTAAATTAGGTCAGGAGTAGTAACAGGAAGTGAAAATAGTCATATCTGTGATATGTTTTAGGGGTAAAGGTAAAGGACGTGCTGATGAATTAGGGTGAGGTAACAGAACGAGGGAATCATTCTCTGGGTTAACACTCTGGGCTTGAGTAACAAGGTGGCTGGCAACGTCACATATTGACATGGTGGCCTCCAGAGAAAGAGAAGTATACGGACAGGAAATGAAGATTAAGGAATCAGCTTTGGGGCCGGCACTGTGACACAGTGGGAAAAGCCACAACCTGTGGCACCAGCATCCCGTATGGGCACCAATTCGAGTCCCAGCTACTCCACTTCTGATCCAGCTCCCTGGCTAGTGTGCTTGGGAAAGCAGCGGAAGACGGCCCAAGTTCTTCGGCCCCTTAACCCACATGGGAGACCTGTAAGAGGCTCCCACCTCCTGGCTTTGGATCAGCCCAGCTCTGGCAGTTGCAGCCATTTGGGGAGTGAAACAGTGGATGTGAGATCTTTCTCTCTAATTCTGTCTTTCAAATAAATAAATGAATCTTAAAAAAAAAGAAAGAAAGAAATCAGCTTCACTGGAGTAAATGTGAGATGGTGAGGATAATAACAGTAGGTAACATTTATTATAATCTCTTCCAAACATTTTACATGTATTAACTTTCTCTTTCTGAAGATTAATTCATTTAAAAGAATTTAAAAAAAGATATCTTCCATCTGCTAGTTCACTCCCCAAAATGGCCACAACAGCCAGGGCTGGGCCAGGCCAAAGCCAGGAGCTTCAGCCAGGTCTCCCACTTCGGTGCAGGGGGCCCAAGCACTTGGGCCATCCTCGGCTACTCTCCCAGGCAATTAGCAGGGAGCTGGTTTAGAATGAAACAGCCAGAACTTGAATCGGCACCTATATGGGATGCCAGCACTGCAAACGGTGGCTTAACTCGCTATGCCATAGTGTTGGCCCCTTGTCTCAATTTTATTTAACCCTCCTTAACAGCCTTTTGAGATAAATAGCATTCCCAGTTTATACATGAAGAAACTAAGTCACAGAGGTGCTAGCTATTGCACACTAGGTACAGGAGCAGCAGCTCAGACACACCCACTCACACCCACTGCACTACGTCTCTACACACACTTGAAGTGAGAAGATGGATCGAGTCTGCAGTCCAAGGGAAATTTCAGAAAAGTATTTGAATATTAACAGAAATGGACTGTTAAACTAGGTATGATCACCTAGGGATTGTATGCAGGCAGAAACATCACCTTGCAAAGCACAGGGTGGAAGGGGACACAACACAAGACAATGGGCTTAAAGTTCCAGAGACAGGAGAGGAAAGCAAGGGGCTTACATGACAGGGACAAGGGTCGAGACTGCTCTGTGTTGTCAAGGTGGCTTTAAAAGTTCACAGGGATGTTATCATTCAATTGAATTTTGCTATCAACCTTCTGAAGATCCCTTACAAGGTTAAAATTACATTCATAGCAAACAACAGGATCAGAAGTGTAGTGATAGACTGTTCTGAGTGGAAGTGGCTTCACAAAACACCTCTGTGAGGACTTGTATGACATGTACACATGTGTGCACCTACCAGCTCCTCATGTAGGGAGGTCAGTGTGGACTCATCCCATCACCTGGAGGACTTTCCTCTCATCATTATACTTTGTTCCCCAGGAACAGAGATGGGGAACGTCCAGGCCATGGGCTGTAATAAACCCATGACATCATCTGGTTCAGCCCTGCCAAGGCAACCACAGGCAGGACTCAAAATCTGATAAATCTATACAGCAGGTTTACTTTTAAGTTGATAATTTTATACGGCCTGCAAACGATGTTATAAACGTCCAAGTGCCCCTTGGCAGAAAAAAGAAAAGATTTCCCAGCCTGCTCTAGAGCCAGGAGAAAGAAAAAACAAGCCAGGAGTCTTGGTCCTTGGCTTGTCTCTACACACCCTTAGAACACAAGGATGCACTACAGAAAGAAGTTTGTATAAGTACGAGGGGTCAGTGTTGACACCAGCATCCCACACTGGAGTCCTAGCTGGAGTCCTGGGTGTCCCACTTCCAATCCAGCCCCTGCTAATGTGCCAGGAAAGGCAATATTAAGATGGTCCAAGTGTTCGGGCCCCTGCCACCCATGTGAATGAAGTTCCTAGCTCCAACCTTTAGCCTGGCACAGCCCAAGTTGTGCAGCTATTTGAGGAGAGAAGCAGTAGAAAGAAGGTATCTCTGTGTCTCTCCATCTTTCTCTGATGCTCTGCCTTTCAAATCAATGGATGTTTTTTAAGAAACTAAGAGTCTTCAAATCCATAAATGTGCAAAATGTATATAACTTATTTTCTTCAGTTCTAACAATTATTCAGTAAAGCATATTCAATTATAAACTGTAACTTATTGATAAATAAAGAAATAAAGCAAAGGAGCATGTCCAAGGATCCAAGGATAACAACATCAGTAGATAGGGCTGGCACTGTAGCAGAGTAGGTTAAGCCTCTCCTGCTGCACCGACATCCCATGAGTACTGATTCAAATCCCAGCTGCTCCACTTCCGATCCAACTCCCTGCTAATGGCCTCAGAAAAGCAGTGGAAGATGGCCCAAGTCCTTGGGCTCCTGCACGCACGGGGGAGACCCAGCAGAAGCTTCTGATTCCTGGGTTTGGATCGGCCAGTTCTGGTCGTTGCAGCCATTTCGCGAGTGAACCAGTGGACTTAAGTCCTCTCTCCCTCTCCCTCTCTCTATAACTCTGTCTCTCAAATAAATAAATTTTTTTAAAAATAAATAAATACCAGTACAAAAACTGAAACCTTAATTTGACCTACTCTAAAAACCATCCTACACCTCAGTAATAACCACATTTTACAATCCAAGATTCTAGAACTCTTTCCCATGATGACTACCACGTGTTGACTGTGCCCAAAGACCTTCATTTTGCAGATAAACTGGTCTTTGTCTTCGTATTTCTAGATTTGTAAGTACAGTACAAGCTGACTACATCATTCTTAAGACGCTTGCTTCTCCTGGTTTCCATGAAAACACAGTGTGGTTTATGATGTAAATTCGTGCACTGCCTTCTTCGATACCCACTGCTAGTTCATACTAGAAATTCAAACTGACTTTGATCTTGCATCACTAACCTTCTCATGCAATCCTCGTACATCAGGCATCACATTCATGATCGTTGCTTTAAACACTGTCTATATACTGAACCTTGCATGTGTATTTCCAGCTCAGGTCTCTCTTGCTATTTCTGAGATCCATGTATACATCTTAAAAGTATCTCAAATTTCAAAGAAAATAAGACAGTGGTACTTAAACTCCCGGAAGCACTTACCAGTGAAATATAAAGGTCTGAGATTTCCTTTGTGAGGAAGTCTTATATTACGGATTGAAGTTATTGAACAGACAAAGTTTTCTGGTTTTCCTATTTTTCCTTGATAAGTTTTGGTAAAAATACGTTTTAATAAAATTTCTGCAGTTTTGTACATGTGATTAAATTTCATGATAAGATATATTCATAGCATCCTAACATCTCTGGAGTTTGCAGTGAAGTTCCCTTTTGCTTTCTGATATCAGTACTCAGTGAATCCTTCTCCCTGTCAGTCACTGTCTACCACCCTGTGTTCTGGATCAGCTTTCCAAGGGTTTGTTCCTGTCTTTAATCTGTCCGCTCCCAATAGCGCTCATTTCCAGTCTCATCTCTGTTACATCCTCACTCTAAGTCCTGTGGGTTTAATTTTCTTTTACTTTACTTTCTTCAGATAGAAGTTTAGCTAACTGCTTTTCACCCTTCCTTCCTTTGTAATATGTGCATTTAAAATTATTAATTTCCAGCCAGCGCCGTGGCTCAATAGGCTAATCCTCCGCCCTGCGGCACCGACACACCAGGTTCTAGTCCCGGTTGGGGCGCCGGATTCTGTCCCGGTTGCCCCTCTTCCAGGCCAGCTCTCTGCTGTGGCCTGGGAGTGCAGTGGAGGATGGCCCAAGTGCTTGGGCCCTGCACCCCATGGGACACCAGGAGAAGTACCTGGCTCCTGCCATCGGATAGGCGCGGTGCGCCGGCCTCAGCACACCGGCTGCGGCAGCCATTGGAGGGTGAACCAATGGCAAAGGAAGACCTTTCTCTCTGTCTCTCTTTCTCACTGTCCACTCTGCCTGTCAAAAAAAAAAAAATTATTAATTTCTCTCTAATCATTGCATTAACTGAATCCTATCAAATTTGATATGCTGTATTTCCATTGGCAGGTTTAAAATGTCATAATTTTAATCATTTATAACTAAAATAAATAGTTTAAAATATGATTTCTTATTTGCAGTTTTATTTGGGTTATTTAGAAGAGTTTTGCTGACTCATGAAACACTCGATGATTTTCCACTTCTTCTGAGATGTCAATTCAGCTGCGTAACAGTGGTGTTTCAGTATTTCTGTTCATACTGAGTTTTTATCTGCTTATTCCATTAGTTACTGAGAGGTGGGTGTTCAAAATCTCTCACAGTGATGGTGGACTGTCGAACTACTGCTGTCCTGCTGCTTTAGCTATCTTGAATCAAGGCCATTATCAACTCCTGGTAAAGAGGTCTCCTGTTTAGTGGCTCCTTCCACCATTACAAATCATCCTTCTCCTCTCTAGTGATACGTCTCCTGGTTTCATTACCCGCCTTTGATCCTCCCTGCATTCTTGTCCTTGCCACCCGATAGTAAGGATGAATACCAGAGACTAAGTGCAGACACTATATGATTTCATTATCTGAAATGGAGGATCTAGGTACACAAAAGGTGACAGGATGGCAGCTACCTCTGAGGAGAAATGAGCTGAGAAGAGGCGTGCAAGAAATCTGTGGCGTTTAGATTTACGTCTTTACGCACATCACAATATGCTCAAGTGTTTGTTTGGTTTTGCTTTTTAAAGTGCATTTTCACTTCCTGTTCTAACACCGAGTTCTCCCTGTTTTCTGTTTCAGAAAAGAGCACCTCCAATGTACCCATCAGCTCTAGGCAGAAGTCACTCACTTCTTTAGGATGTGGAGAATATCTGGATAGTTCCAAACAGATCTCACCGTGACCTGGCTCTCATCTCACCATCGCCACTGCCACACCTGAAGTCCCACTACCCTGAACTTTTCACCTCAACTCAAAAAAGCCACCTAATTATCTCCCGGGTTCCAGTCTCCCCCAGCTGTCCTTTCCCCTCAAAGCCATCAAGACAATCTTTTAAAAAGAGAAATCACATCATCTAATTAAGGCTTTTTCATGTTTTCTGTCTTTTAATAAAAACTCAACTCCTTTATCTTGGCATAGAAGCCCTGAAGAATTAACTCACTATCTACCCTCTGAATTAATTTTACGACCTTATCTCCTGTGCTAATTCATTTAATCTAGTAGCAATGACCTGTTTATAATTATTTCAACTTTTGCCCATCTCCTGAATTAAATATCCAACATCCAATTTCCTCAGCAAAATAACATTTACATCAGGTCATCTCTCAGAATTTAATTTTCTTTTTTTTTTTTTTTTTTTGATTTATTTGATAGGTAGAGGTATAGACAGTGAGCGAGCGAGCCAGCAAGTGAGAGAGAGAAAGGTCCTCCTTCCATTGGTTCACTCCCCAAATGGCTGCCACGGACGGCGCTGCACCGATCCGAAGCCAGGAGCCAGGTGCTTCTCCTGGTCTCCCACATGGGTACAGGGGCCCAAGCACTTGGGCCATCCTCCACTGCCTTCCCGGGTCACAGCAGAAAGCCAGACTGGAAGAGGAACAACTGGGACTAGAACCCGGTGCCTATATGGGATGCCGGTGCGGTAAGCAGAGGATCAACCTACTGAGCCATGGCACCGGCCCCTTAAGTTTCTAACAGTTGTGCTCATAGATCCACAAATTCAAACGCAACAATTTTGCCAACAGAATTCAATTATTAACAGCATGTAGCTCATCTGTCTGTATTACACACACACACACACACACACCCCTACAAATGTGAATACAGAGTCAAGAACGTGTCTGTCTAGTTTGTCACTAGAACATTCCAAACACCAAGCAGAATGAATGACACATGGTGTGTCTCCCAATCCCCATGTCTGAGCAAGCTCCTCAGTGAATGGATGAATACATGACAGGATATTCACCCAGAACCAGTTCCTACTGCTTCTCTCCTACTCTCAGGTCATCACCGCACTGCCTGGGAACTTAAGTGCCTTAAAGGGCAGGCTCCAACATCAAGTGGTGGAAAGGTAGGCTCACCAATTACAAGGAAAAAATGGCAAAAAATATGACACTTTCTCTCCCCAAGAGTTATGAGTTTCAACACTTCCATTAGGAGTGCAAACTCACAGTTACCTAAAGGCACACGATGACATGAAGGCTTTGTTAGACCTTATGGGGACACAGAAGGCAACAATACAAGAAATCATGGGGATGAAGCAACGCGTGTGAGGCGCATTCATACAGATGCAATCTATGCCTTCTGACCTACACAGGCTATTAGAGTGGACTGACGTCAGGTGTATCTGCAGAAGGAAACCAACAGAAATGTTATCTGAGACAATAATGGGCTGAACAGCAGAATCCGAATTTGGTGCGATCCTCATATAAAATAGCTCCACATGTTACTGACCAAAGGCTGCCACCACAACAGAGTAGACTGCCAGACACTGACACAGCCAGCAATATACCCTGCCTTGAAAGCAGACTCAGGGAAAAATTTACTGACCTTTACCCCATATTTTACTTTCCCAGCATAATGTTTTATGATGAAAGCAGGCTCCATTACTGCTGGAAATTCAATGTAAGAATTCTCTTCATGTTGATGCTTAAACTTGTCTAGCAATGTTTGATTTGTAGCCTGTGGAAAGCTAAATTCAAAAACAAACACAAGAAAGACAAAGTAGTTAGTACAGTTTTTTGAAAAGCATATTCAAATAAGTAACATTTTACATATCTAGCAGTTTACAAAGTTTTCACCTATACCATCTGATCTGATGCCAAAAGCTGAAAAGTGAGTAGGAAAGGCTTGGTATTCCACAAGAGATGAGAGATCTACAGCTGTGATCTGTCTACAGGCACACTCTGCAAGCAGCAACGCTGTGACACTAACTAAAGTCACTAGGCATAGAGCTTAGGTTGCTCTGTAAAAGCCAAAGGAATGTAAAATCCAATTCATATGGTCATTGGGGCCAAAAACTTCCAAAAAAGCAAATAACCTCTCAATTAACACAAATCCTTTAATCTACAGTCACTGTTCATTTTCCTATTTCTTCATGTATAAATAGGTACCAATTTTCTTAACTATACTAATGACTACATATGTAAGTGTTATTATTTTAAACATATATCTATCAATCTCTATTCACTGACGGTACTGACTTAAACATTTCATATCAGGAATGATAAAAATAATATGTAATCAGAACTAAATGCATAATAGCAAGTAAGGCAATAAAAGTTCCGAAAGGGAGAGGGGAGGAATCATGGTGGGGGTGGGGAGGAGGGGAGCACATTTAGCCTAACATTTAAGCCACCAAACAAGATGCCAGTCCCACACTGGTGGGCCTGATGCAATGTCCAGCTCCAGCTCCTGATTTCAATGAGTGCAGACCCTGGAAGGCAGTGGCGAAGGCTCAAGTGGTTGGGTTCCTACCACTTACATTATAGACCTGGGTTAAATACCTGACTTCTGGCTTTGTCCCTGGCTAGAGCTAAAGCAGGCACCTGGGGAGTAAACCAGCAGACAGGATAGGCGAATGTGTGTGTAAATACACACACCCATGCATACATCTGTCTCTTCACCTTTCAAATAAATTTTAAAAGTGTTTTTTAAATCATTGGTGGACAGAACTACTAAAAAAACTCACAGAGTACCAGGCGGCAATTATGAGCTAGATGTCAGGCTGAGTAGGAGTTTCAAATACAGGAAATACCACTGGCAGAACAAGCAGAAAGTACCTTTCAGGAAACGGTTTGGTTTAACAGTAGCTACATCAATGAGAAATAGTGGCAAGAGGCTGTACAGAAGCTGAGCATCAAACTGAATGCATGAAAATGTCTGCAAACTGACAAGAATAGTTCCTTAGAGAAGGCCCTTGGTGTCAGATAGGAAGAGCTTAGACTACCAGTTCTGCAAGTCACCTTGGGCAAGCAACTTATATTTTCAAATTATTTTCTGTAACTTACGTAAAATGAATACTAAGTACCATAGTGACAGCAAAAGTAATTAACAGTAGTAAAAATACCTAACAGTATTTAGCTTTCTACAGGGATCGTGTCATCAACATTTTTATGTCACTGACACTGGCATTTTCCTCACACCTTGCCCTCTTTTACCATTCAAATACCTATCCCTGCCTGAAAACCTCCACAAACAGCTTACTTCCAAACTGTAAACCTACTTTAGAATGGATTAACATTTCCTTTTCTTTTCTTTTTCTTTTTTTTTTTTTTCTTTTTTGACAGGCAGAGTTAGTGAGAGAGAGAGAGAGAAAGGTCTTCCTTCCGTTGGTTCACCCCCAAAATGGCCACTACAGCCGGCGCGCTTCGCTGATCCGAAGCCAGGAGCCAGGTGCTTTCTCCCAAGTGCAGGGCCCAAGCACTTGGGCCATCCTCCACTGCCTTTGAAATATTGTGTTTATTTATTTGAATGTCAGAGTAGAAAACAGAAAGGAAGAGTGAGAGATCTTGCATCTGCTAGTTCATCTCCAATAAACTAGGAGCCTGGAACTCCCTCTGGGCCTCCCACATGTGTCGCAGAAACCCAAGCACTTAGACCATCATCATCTGCTGCCTCCTAAGCACATCAGCAGGAATCTGGATCAGAAGTATGGAGTAATCAAGACACAAAATGGCACTCTGAGATGGGAGGCAGGCATTCCAGGTGGCAGCTTCATCCACAACACAACACACCCCAAAACACTTGCAGTTTAAACAGGGACAACAGCAACTGCCTCTACAATAGTTTCACAGCTTTACCAGCTTCAGTCTTCCCTTTTGTGAGAAATCACAGCATATTATCAACATGTATTTTCCTTCAGCAGGCTTTACCTTTGTGCCTCCTCTACTCAGAACACTCACGGGTCACCAAGGCAAAGACGAACTGACGCCAGGCCAAGGCCAAGGCACCTCTGCAAACTCACGTCTCCATATTCCAGGGCAGAATGCCTCACTTTAGGCAAGACGCTCACCTTGCTGTCTCTTGGTAAGGTGTATTTACCCTCTAACCCTCTGAGTAACAGAACAGCTTACCTTTTTCTCTTACTTTTGAGTGGAGAACTTTCAAAAGAAGTAGGATAGAGATGAGAACAGCCTTATTCCAAACCAGCAAAGATGAAAACAAAAGCTCTCCACAGGCCCTGTGTTCAACAAGCAGCTGGGAATATCTGTTATATCACCAGGCAGAGGGGCTCAGCACACAGGCCAGTGAGACATCACAGCTCAGGTCAAAGCTCTAATCTGGAATCTCCGGTTCATCAGCTACTACCTATGTGATCTTTGTCTTCAATTGCTTTATCATTTCATTTTGCTACTACACATTACCGCAAACAAAAGAACTGCTTATCTTTGCATTATCAACTGCAATGGCTCTCAACTCCCAACAGCAAAATCATCTGTGATTTTGAAGTTTCCCAAATATACACAAGTGAAGGATGCCAGCAAAGTTTAAAAACTACTGTACTTAACACTGTGTAAGAATTTTAAGTACAGCAGTACTTCCAGTCCAGTTCTTTGCTATGGCCTGGGAAAGCAGTGGAAGATGGCCCAACTCCTGGGGACTCTGCACCGACGTGGGAGACCTGGAAGAAGCTACTGGCTCCTGGCTTCAGATCAGCCCAGCTCCCATTTGGGGAGTGAACCAGCAGATGGAAGATATCTATCTCTCTCTCTCTCTCTCTCTCTGACTCTACATTACTCCGTAACTCTGTTTTTCAAATAAATAAGTAAATCATTTAAAAAAAAAAAAAGAATAAAGGAATATACAACAAATTCAATTTCAAAATGTGTAGAAGAAATCTAGAAAAACTTACCAAGTTAAATGGTGAAGCCCACCCTATTTATCCAGGAAAAAAGAAAACTACATATAGACAAGTACCAGTTTACTTGACAATGTAAGGATAGGGATGATGGCACAGTGTGTTAAACCGCTGTCTGTAATGATGGTATTTCTTATAGGAGCAGTGGCTCAAGTCCCAGCTGCTCTGCTTCCAATCCAGCTCCCTACCAACCCACCCAGGAAAGCAGCAGCAGATGGCTCAAGTACTTGGGCCCCTGTCAACCACATGGAAAACTTAGGTGAATTCCTGGATCCTGGCTTCGGCCTGGCCTAGCCCCCACCACTATGACCCACTGGGGGAGTGAACCAGTGGGTGGAAGATCTCTGTCTCTTCCCCTCCCTCACTCTTTCAAATAAATTAAATAAAAATTTAAAAAAAAACAACAACGCAGAACAATGTTTAATCTGAAGATGACATGAAAAGCCCAAACAGCTAGTAAGAAATTCAGAATCATACTCACTTGCTTTCTTCATCCAAAAGATGCAGCAGTCCTGTTGGTTTTTTGCTAATGAGATTGATACAACAGCTATTATCAATATAATCTATATTATGCCAGCTGATTCCTTCCATTCTATATTCCTCCTAGGAAAACCAAATAATAAAATAATTTATTCATCTTGCAGAAAATATTAAGTATGCAATAACAAGGATTTTTAAAAGCTTTTATCAGACTTTAAAGAATGATCTAAGCTTTTTTAAAAAATATTTTTCACATATTTATTTAAGAGAGAGGGTGCGACAGAATGACACTGACCAACACAGAGCAAGCTTCCATCTGCTGGTCCACTCCCCAAATGCCTGCAACACCCTGGACTTGGTAGCCAGTAGCCTGGAACTCAATACCAATATCCCATGCAGGTAAAAGGAACTTAACTCTTGAGTCATAACTGCTGCCTCTCAGGGTCTGCATTATCAGGAAGCTAAAGTAAGGCGCCAGAGCCTGGGACTGAACCATGGCACTGTGAAGAGGAACAGAGGTATAGGGCAGGTAACGACTTGGGCCATCTTCCACTACTATCCCAGGCCAGAGCAGAGAGCTGGATCACAAGTGGAGTAGCCGGGACTTGAACCAACGTCCATATGGGGTGTCTGCACTGAAGGTAGCAGCTTTACCCGCTATGCCACAGTGCCAGCCCTGGAGAGGTACATGCTCAGTGTTTTCCTTTAATAATGATTTCACCAATAAGAAATCGTTATAGAAAAGCCATCTTTAAACAGTTAAAAGGGGTTGGCATTGTGCTTCAATGTCGCTCCCCCATTCGCGGAGGAACGACACTGGACCCTGCGCTGTTCTTTCTGTCCAGCCCTTCCCGGTTTGCTGCCGTTCCCCTACTTGCGGAGGAACGACGCCGGCCCGGGTTAGCTGCCAGCCCCCGGCCTCCGCAGAGGGGCAGCACCCCCCACCGCTTTCCCCGCTTTCGCGGAGGAGCGGCACACCGCCGGCCGGCTCTCAGGGGCTGCTCAGGGGCTGCTCCCAGATGTTCCTGGTGCATGTTGTCTCTCTCTTCCTTTATAGCCCTCTTCCACCAATCCATGCTCTGCTGCCCACACGCCGAGCACGCTGCTCTCCTCCAATCAGGAGCAGGATCAGCTCCTGCCACTTGTTAGTCAAATTGGCGAGGCAGCTGCGTAGAAGTTGTTTGCTCTCTCTCAGCACCATATTGTGGGAGATCAGATGCATAGAATTAGTCCTAGTTCCAGTAATTTAGTCTAGTCTCAGTTGCTCCCCACAGTTCAACAGGTGAAGTCATCCCTTATCTGAATCATCCCCTATCTGAGGGCTGCTGTGAGTCCTGGCTGCTCTGTTCTAATCCACCTTTCTACGAATACGCTTGGTGAGGCAGCAGAAGACCAGGTATATATATCCTTAGCACATCTGGGTAACAATCTTATCCTGGGCCTTAAAGTGTGTTCAGAATTATTTGGTTTTTTCTATTGCACATAAAGTGTTCAGGCAGATTGAAATTCTCTTCTTTCAACACTGGTCAAATTCAGCAGTGGAGTGTCTTGGCTTGCAATGTTCCTTACTGAAAGATTTGTATTTACATGAACTATTTCTTTAATAATTATAGAATCAGATTTTTTCTTTCTTCTGTTAGTCCTGGCAAGTTCTTTTTTTCTTTCCATATCATTTGATAAGCCTGCTAATATGTCTAGGAAAGTAGCAGAAGATGGCTCAAGTGGTAGGGACCCTGCCACCCACGTGGGAGGCACGAATGGAATTCCTAACTCCTAGTTTGGGCCAGGACCAACCCAGGCCATTTTGGCCTCTGGGGAGTAAACCAGAAGATGAAAGATTTCTATCTTTCTCTGTCACTCTTTCAAATAAGCAAGTCAATCTTTAAAAAAGAATTCCACTATGGGAACAAATATATACTGCTGCTTTTATTTTTACTGAATTTTGCTTTATGTATTTTGAGTCTATGTTATCAGATATTTATAGATTTGGGAATATACATTTCCTATTGAACTGATCCTTCTAGCATTATGAGATAATATTTTTATCTCTAGTAATGCTTAAAGTGTGATATTAAAACAGCTACAAATACTCACTTATGGTTACATTTAACCAAATCTTTTTTTTTTAAAGATTTATTCATTTATTTGAGAGGCAGAGTTATAGACAGAGAGAGGGAGAGACCAAGAGAAAGATCTTCCATCCACTGGTTCACTCCCCAAATAGCTGCAACAGCTGGGGCTGGGCCAGTCTGTAGCCAGGAGCTTCCTCCGGGTCTCCCATGTGTGTGCAGGGGCCCAAGCAGTTGGATCATCTTCCGCTGCTTTCTCAGGTGCATTAGCAAGGAGCCAGATTGGAAGTGGAGCAGCCAAGTCATGAAGCGGCGGGCATATGGGATGCCAGCACTGCAGGCAGCTGGTTAACCTGCTACACAACCAGACTGGCCCCTCAATCTCTTCTGACTTAACTTTCTTCCTGAGCACCACACGTCTCTCAGCAGCAGCAGCCGTTTACTTCTGTATTATATCCAGTCTGGCAAACCCCAGGTTCTAGTTGGAGCAACTCATTTACAATGTTTGATTTGGGGGATTTTCTTGTGCATTTGAGAAAGAGGAAGGGAAGGAAAGAAACAATAAGAAAATGCTCTCAGGCAGGTGCTGTGGTATTGTAGGCTAAGCCTCCATTTGCAGCGCCGGCATCCCATATGGGCGCCGGGCATGTCCTGGCTGTTCCTCTTGCAATCCAGCTCTCTGCTATGGCCTAGGAAAGCAGTAGAAAATGGCCCAAGTGCTTGGGCCCCGGCACCCATCTGGGAGCCCCAGAGGAAACTCCAGCCATTGCAGCTGCAGCCATTTGGGGAGTGAATTAACAGATGGAAGACATTTCTCTCCTCTCCCTCTCTATCTTTACATCTCAAAGAAATAACATCTTTAAGAAATGCACTCATCCTCAAGGCAGGGATGGGCCAGGCCAGAGCTAGGAGTCCAGAACTCCTGGTCTCCCATATGGATGGCCAGAACTCAAATACCTGAGTCATCATTCCTGCCCCCAAAGTCTGCAACGGCAGGCAGCTGGGGTCAGGATCCAGGACCCAGGACTAGAACCAGGTACTCCAATGCGGATGAAGGCACCTCAGACCACCACAGGAAACACTCAACCTGATCCATTTATTTCTAATGCAATCATTGATATTTAAGGGATTAAATCAACCATCTATTTGCTACTTACCCTTTCTCAGCTTTCATTTTCTTCTGTCAGTTATTTCTATTTTACTTATACCCTATATTAATTTCAAAAGTTTTACATTCTTATACTACTTTGTGGATATCCTAGATACCATCACATATATCCCTGATTAATTATTAATTATATTATTAACAGCAATGTCTAACAAATAGTTTATAACTTAATTCATGTAAAGATCTTAGACTACATGAAGTTCCATTTACTCCCTGCCTAACTTATATGCTATTGTTTTTATGTAGTTTAGTTCTACCTAAACAATACACTATAAAAGTTATTTTCTCCCTTTGATTTAGTTCAGAGTCACTTAGATTCGCCCCTTCTTTGTAATTTTCATCACTCTTCATTCCTTCCTACATTCTGAGCTAGAATCAGGGATGTATTAGCTACTGACTAACAACAAGTTTTAGTTTAAAGGACAATAGCCCCTCATCTTCGGTCTTGCATTGCAGAAGTAATTTTAGCACCAGGATGAAGTCTTCTTCCAGTGGACATTGAATTTTCTCTAGGCAGTCGGTGCTAAGAACGCTAGAAATCCTATACTACTGGGGCTGGCACAGTGGCACAGGAGGTAAATCCGCCACCTCCGACGCCAGCATCCCATACCGGGCACCCACTCGAGCTCCAGCTGCTCCACTTCCAATCCAGCTTCCTGCTAACTTGCCTGGGAAAGCAGCAGAGCATTGCCCAAGCCCTTGCACCCCTGCACTCATGTGAGAGACCTGGAAGAAGCTCCTGGCTCCTGGCTTCTGACCACCTTAGCTCTGGCAGTTGAGGTCATTATTCTATCTCTGTGTCTCTTTCTCTCTCTGACTCTGCCTTTCAAATAAAGCAATAAACCAAGATATATATATATATATATATATAGAGAGAGAGAGAGAAAGAGAGAGAGAGAGAGAGAGAGAGAAATTCTACACTACTTTAACCTGACGAGGGTTGAATGACGCACACTGGAAACATCCTTGCGATGCCTGTCCACTTGCAGTTTGCCCTTCCTCCTAACATGTAACCTTTTCAGAGTCTCAGCCTAAAGCCTACAGGAGAAGCCAGGAGCCTCTTCCTCCCTGGGGAGTCTGGAGAAAATCCTGCTCATGTCCTCAGCCCCTCAAGCCTATTTCTTTTAAAAGCAGCAATCCCCTGCCCACAGAGAGAAACACCTCTAGGAACAGAACAGCCCCCAAATGATGGGCCTAGTGAGCCGCGGCGCCGGCCCTTCCATGAACTTTTTAAAAGTGTCCTCTAACAGAAAGGCAAAGAAGGCTGGCGCAGCAGCTTACTTGACTAATCCTCCACCTGCGGCGCTGGCACCCCGGGGTTCTAGTCCCGGTTGCTCCTCTTCCAGGCCAGCTCTCTGCTGTGGCCCGGGAAGGCAGTGGAGGATGGCCCAGGTGCTTGAGCCCTGTATCCGCATGGGAGACCAGGAGGAAGCACCTGGCTCCTGACTTTGGATCGGCGCAGCACACTGGCCGCAGCACACCAGCCTTGGCGGCCATCTGGGGGGGGGGGGGGTGAACCAATGTTAAAAGCAAGACCTTTCACTCTGTCTCTCTCTCTCTCCCTCTAACTCTGCCTGTCAAAAAAAAAAAAAAAAAAAAAGAATGGCCAAGAAGTCAAGAAGTAAACGGTCTTTAAGCTTCCCTTAAATTACATCAAAGACACCCCACTGTACTGTGGTGTACCCGCCACCTGCTACACCAGCATCCCATATGGGCATCACTTCATGTCCTGGCTGCTCTATGGAGAGAGAGAGATCTTCCATCCCCTGGTTCACTCCCCAGTTGGCCGCAAGGCTGGAGCTGGAGCTGCGCCAATCCAAAGTCAGGAGCAAGGAGCCTCCTCCAGGTCTCCTGCAGGGGTATAGGGACCCAAGGACATGGGCCTTCTTCTACTGCTTTCACAAGCCACAGCACACGGTCGTATAGGAATCGAAGCAGCTGGGACTTGCGAACCAGCATCCATAGGGGATGCCAGCACTGCAGGCAGCGGCCTTACCCACTACGCCACAGCGCCAGCCCCAACTGGCTGCTCCCCTTCTAATCCAGCTCCCTGCTAATGCCTAGGAAACACAGAGGAAGCGGCCCAAGTGCTAGGACCCCAGCTTCCCACAAGGGAGACCCTGAAGAAGCTCCAGCCTCCTGCACTCAGCCTGGCTACTGCTGCCACCTGGGGAGTAAACCAGCAGGTGGATGATCTCTCTTGCTATCTCTTTTTCTCTTTCTCTTTCCCTTTCTCTCTCTCATCATAAGTTTGCCTTTCAATAAATATATAATCTTCAAGAAAAAAAAAGGTATACCCCACAGATCAGAAAACACGAGAATACTGAGATTTGAGTTAGAAAAAGATGGTATAATTTAGAATCTGAATCTTCTGATCCATAATCACATCAGACAGTCTAAAATTATGACATTCAAGGTCGCAAGCAAACCAAGACTGCCCACCCCAAGTAGTTACAAGCACATTCTTCAATGACCTATGAAGCTCTTTTCCATACAGCATGATTACAGCCTAGGCATTTCTTAGGGGTCTTTTATGTCTCACCTGGACTTCTAGAAAAGTTAAGAATAACTTCAGTTTATAATGAAAGAACAGCTTTCTCACTCTAAAAGCAGTCAACCTGTCTTCTGCTTCATGATACATGGGGCAGCTGCTGCTTTACTTCATAAAACACAGAATGCAGTCAACAACATGAACTCCCCCCATTCTCCAACACCTGTACCTATCTGCAAAGGAGAAGAGATAATAATTTAACATGGCATAAAAAGCCAAAGCCATAAAAACATGGCTTAAACATGACTTAAAAAGCCATGGACAGATGGCCAACACTGTGGCACAGTGGCTTAAAGCCCTGGCCTGAAGCTCCGGAATCCCAAATGGATGCTGGTCCTAGTCCCGGCTGCTCCTCTTCCAATCCAGCGCTCTGCTATGGCCTGGGAAAGCAGTAGAAGATGATGGCCCAAGTCCTTGAGCCCCTGCACCCACATGGGAAGACCTGGAGGAAACTCCTGGCTTCTAGCTTCGGATGGGAGCACCTCCAGCTGTTGCAGCCAATTGGGGAGTGAACCAGCAGATGGAAGACCTCTCTCTCTCTCTCTCTCTCTCTGCCTCTCCTCTCTCTGTGTGTAACACTGACTTTCAAATAAACAAATAAATCTTTAAAAAAAAAAAAAAAGCCATGGACAGGATCAACAGACTTAGGTACCGTGTCCAGCTCAGCTTCTGGTTAAAAGCAAGAGTTACGGAACCTAAGTCTTAAATTTTTTAAACTGGCATTAGGCACCATCTGTAAAACTAGATAAAAACAGCACCTACTTGATAAATAGTTAATACTATAACAAAGGTTATTAACTTTCAGCAGTTACAGTGTAGCAACCAGCTAAAATGTTGTGTCTAGAACTTCAGCATTCATCAGAGCAGCCAGTACTAATTCAACTCTACTTCTGTGAACAACCGTGAACCTTTAAGCCACAGACAGTCCTGAAAGCTAAGACAGAGCAAGAGCCCCAGAACCCAGCATTTGACGATACAAAGTGCTCATTTTCCCCTCTTTATAGCCTTGCTAGCTGTTGTGCACTTTCGGGTCATTTTCCATTCTTCACCATTGCCCTTGGATTGAGCTGATGAACCCTGCCACTGCCGAGCTGATGAACCCTGCCACTGCCTATGTCCTCACATACAAAATGAAATTCTACCCCAAACAGTTACTGATTTCAAAGCTAGTTTGAAGTAAAAGCCTACATTTTGTTCAACTTCACCTTTATTCTAATAATTAGCGTGGAATCTTTTTTTTTAAACTGTGAACTGTGAGATTCTCACAAGAACTAAGTGGTTACCCATCTTAGTAGCTCCAACCTTTCTGCTTCTTTGTATCCACACGCTGCGGACTTCAGATTCTATTAATTAGCTATTCAGTCCCATCACAGAACTGAGACAAATGCAATCAAAGCAGCATACTTAGCATTACAGTTCCAAAGGCCACAGAAGCAATTAAAACAGTTAACACCAACAAATCCCCCCAAAACATCCATGCCATCGTTTCATTCCAAGGAGAACTTAAACAAGCACTTATTAGCAAATCTGTGTACTACCAAAGAACACTGCAGAGCATGGCTTAAAAACTCTGCCCTGATCTGCTATTTGCTTACAATGACATAACAAACATCATATCTACTAAAATACAAGACTGAAAACGCAGACTATGACTTTGACACAAAAGTGTGTGTGTGTACTGAGGCGAGGCAGGCATGCACAGGTACTCACTTGCTCCAATTTGAAGATGTGCTGATTAAAGTAGTGTTGTAAACGTTCATTAGCAAAATTAATACAGAACTGTTCAAAGCTATTATTTTCATAATCTTCAAATCCAAAAATATCAAGAACACCAATGGACAAAGTCTATAAAACAAGACAAAATTTTGGTTTAAAAATTACACCCAGATTTATTTAATACCTAATATCCAAAATATAATTAAGTTAAGAAAATGCACAATTTTTTACAGATTTATTTATTTACTTGAAAGGCAGAGAGGGAGAGACAGGAAAGAGATCTTCCATCCACTGGTTCCCTCCCCAAATGGCCACAACAGCCAGGGCTGCGTCAGGCTGAAACCAAGAGCCAGGAACTGCATCCTGGTTTCCATTGTAAGGACAGGGGTACAAGCACTTCAGCCATCTCTGCTGCCCTCCCAGGAGAGTTAGCAGGGAGCTGGCTAGGAAGTGGAATGCCTGTGTTACAAGCTAGGGCTCAAAACACTGCACCACAACACTTACCACCAAAACGCTCATTGCTACAGCCGTGGAGAGGGGATTATTTTGGGCCCCATTCAACCATTAGGTATCACAAATAAAAAGAATTTCAGCTCTCTTTTATTATAGAAATGTGCAAAGCAGGGCTGGTGGTCCATTGTCTTCAATTCAGGAATCCCTAGGCTCTGAGACAGCAAGGAAATAACATGCTTTGGGGTAGCCTGAGGCCACTTAAGTTAAAGATCAGAAGAGCTGGGTTATTCCTGTCTATGCCAAGAGTACTGTGGGATATCTCCTATTCTGACTTTAACATCCCAATAAATAGAATTCTGCTTTAGGACCCAGACTAAAAAGGGTATTTAGTCATTCTGAGCTAGGCTACAAACGAGATACCTGAACATGCAGTTTGTTAGTTTAAAATGCTTTAATCGGGGCCAGCGCTGTGGCCTAGTGCCTCAAGTCACCACCTGCAAGCTCCAGCACCCCATATGGGTGCCAGTTCGAACCCCAGATGCTCTGCTTCCGAGCCAGCGTGCCCTGATGTGCCTGGGGAATCAGCAGCAGGTGGCCCACATGCTTCAGCCCGAGCACCCACATGGGAGAGCCAAAAGAGCTCCCGGCTTCAGCCTGGCCCAGCCCCAGTTGTTGCAGCCATTCGGGGAGTGAACTAGCATATGGAAGAGCTCTTTATCTCTGTCTCTCCCTCTCTCTAACTCTGCCTTTCAAATAAATAAAATAAATGTTTAAATAAATAATATGTTTTAATTTTACTCTGAAAGAAATACGAGATTTAAAATGTTGGATAGCAGAAATGAAAGGAAGGAAGGAGAAGGGAGGAAGGGAAGGAAGTATTATTGGAATCATAGCTAGGAAATCTGTTCTTTGTGTATTAATAAATTTAAAAAGCAATTTAAAAACTTTAAAAAGTTGACTGTGTCTAAAAGGGATATATACTATTTAAAGAGAAAAAAAGCAGTCCCTTCCTCTTCCTTAAAGTCTGCTCCCAAAGCAAACAATACTCAAATCTTTTCACCTTTTTTTTTTTAATTTATTTATTTACTTGAGAGGCAGAGTTAGAGAGAGAGAGAGAGACAGAGAGGTCTTTCATTCACTGGTTCACTCCCCAGATGGCTGCCAACGGCTGGAGCTGACCCAATCCAAAGCCGGGAGCCAGGAGCCCCTTCCGGGTGCAGGGGCCTGTGGACGTGGGCCATCTTCTACTGCTTTCCCAGGCCACGCCAGAGAGCCGGATCAGAAGAGAAGCAGCCGGGACATGAACCAGCGCCCATATGGGATGCCATATGCCACAGGCCTGGCTGCTCTTTTGGTCTTTTGATAGAATACAGATCAACTTTATTCTTCTATTTCTTCCTATGTTACTTCTAGGAATTTTCTTTCTAACACCTTACTATAGATGAAGGGAAACCTGATCTAATACCTACATATACACACTCTTCTTACCACACTACACCATCTCTGAAATGCACACTGGCACAATGAATGATAGTTTCTTCCTAAGTCTGTACTAAGATGATTTGCATGATAAGCCCTGTTGACTGAGTCTAAGTCTTTAAGAAGACAGGAAAATACTACAAGTCCATGTGAGGGGAGGGGCTGACCTGCCAAACGGGAAGCCTGTATCCCCAGTCGGAGTACCCTGGATCCAAGTCCCAGCTCTGCTCCCAATTCCAGCTTCCCGCTAGTGCATACACAGAGGGACAGCAGTGTGATGGGTTCTGGGTCCCTGTCACCTATATGGGCAATTGGGACTGAATTCCCAGTTCCTAGGTTTCTGGACGTTTAGGAAGTGAACCAGCAGATAGGAGATCTCCGTCTGTCTGTCTGGTGTTTGTCTCTCTGCTTCTCAAATAAAAGAAACAGTTAAAAAAAGTTTTTTAAGATTAAGTCAATTTGATAAGTTACCATCTTGAATATTTAAATTTAAATAATATAACACATAATAAATTATAATTTGTTTGATCACTGAGCGATTACTTAAAACATGAAAAATTAATATAAGATCAATTTATGACAAGAATGAATAACAAATCTGACATTTTAATTAGCCTCAAGAGACCAAATGTTCCATAAAGTCTGGTGAGAAGGTAAAACTGTATTAACAGTAGTAATGCTATGGGGCCAGCATTGTGTCATAGCAGGTAAAGATGCCACCTGCAAAGTGGGGATACCACACGGACACCAGTTTGTGTCCCAGCCGATCCATTTCCCACACAGCTCCCTGCTAAAGGCCTGGGAAAGCTGCAGAAGATGCCCCCAAGTGGTCAGGCCCCTGCACCTCACATGGGAGTCCTGGATGAAGTTTCAAACTCCCATCTTCAGCCTGCCCAGCTGGGCCGTTGCAGCACTTCGGAGAGTGAACCAGCAGATGTAAGATCAATCTCTCTCTCTCTCCTTCTGTGTCTTTCAAGTTAATAAATAAATCTTAAAAAAAAAAAAAAAAAAAAAAAAAAAAAAAAAAAAAAAAACTCATGCAGCTAAGTAACTAGTTACATACAAAATATATGTGATCCTGTACATCTCCAGAACAATCAAAGTAAGTAGCTAAAAAGAAGGAATGACAAAAAAATCAACAAAAACAGTACAAGGATACTTTTTGCTCACCTTTTATCACTGAACAGTACAGTAATAAAAGGGGACAGTGTCTCTTATCTGGTTAGGAGATACGAACACTGATCATTTCCAATGTGGGTAAGGGGTTGGGCAATTACATAAATTATTGTCAAAATTCAATCTTTTTGGGAAAGCAATTTAACTGCAACACCCATCAAATGTTTTATTTTTATTTCATTTTATTTGAGAGGTAGAGAAAAGAGAGAGAAAAACAGCGAGAGGAACAGAGTTCAATCTGCTGGTTCCCTCTCCAAGTGCCCCACCCAGTCCCGCTGGGACTGGACCAGGCTGAAGCCAGGAACTGGGGGCTCCATCCAGGTCTCCCACATGGGTAGCAGGGCCCCTAGCACTAGAGCCATCACCTACCGCCTCCCAAGGTCTGTATTAGCAGGAAGCTCGAGTCAGGAGCTGACGCCAGGCCTCACACCCAGGAACTCCAATGTGGAACATGTATGTGACCACAATGGTTTCTTAACCAGCAGGCCACACACTCACTGTACTACCAAGTCTTAAAACACACAAGTCCTTAAATCAGTCATTGCATTTTGAAGATTTTTCTCCTAGAAAAATGAGCACAAGTAAGAATTTTTTTTTTTTTTTCTGACAGGCAGAGTGGACAGTGAGAGAGAGAGACAAAGGTCTTCCTTTTGCCATTGGTTCACCCTCCAATGGCCGCCACGGCTGGCGCGCTGTGGCCAGCGCACCACGCTGATCCGAAGCCAGGAGCCAGGTGCTTCTCCTGGTCTCCCATGGGGTGCAGGGCCCAAGCACTTGGGCCATCCTCCACTGCACTCCCGGGCCACAGCAGAGAGCTGGCCTGGAAGAGGGGCAACCGGGACAGAATCCGGCGCCCCGACCGGGACTAGAACCCGGTGTGCCGGCGCCGCAATGGGGAGGATTAGCCTAGTGAGCCGCGGCGCCGGCCTACAAGTAAGAATATTTGCTGGGGGATGGAGCCGTGGCACAGAGTTAAACCACCACCTGAGATGCCAGGCACTCATAGGAGCACCAGTTTGGGTCCTGGCTGCTCCACTTGTCCAACTTCCTGCTCAAGTTTCTGGCAAAGCAGCAGAAAATGGCCCAAGTACTTGGGCTCCTGACACAGACACAGGAGACCCAGACAGAGTTCTGGGCTCCTGGCTTTGGCGTGGCCCAGCCAGCTCCAGCTGTTGCAGCCATCTGGGGAGTGAACCAGTGGATTTAAGATCTGTCTCTACCTCTCTGTCACTCTGCCCTTCAAATAAATAATAAACCCTAAAAAAAAGGGGGGGGGGTGGAACTGTGGTGCAGCAGATAAAAGCCCTGGCCAAAAGCGCTGGCATCCGATATGGGCGCCGGTTCTAGTCCCTGCTGTTCCTCTTCCCATCCAACTCTCTGCTATGGCCTGGGAAAGCAGTAGAAGATGGCCTAATTCCTTGGGCCCCTGCGTGGGAGACCCAGAAGAGGCTCCTGGCTCCTGCTCCAGATCAGCACAGCTCCAGCCGTTGTGACCATCTGGGGAGTGAACCAGTGGATGGAAGACCTCTCTCTCAATGTAAATCTTTCAAATAAAATAAATCTTAAAAAAAACACACATTAAAAAAAAAGAATATTTGTTACAGCACTGTTCATATCAAAAATGAAATATCTGAAAGATTAATTTATTTCTTTGAAAGTCAGAGTTACACAGAGAGAGGAGAGGCAGAGAGAGAGAGGTCTTCCAACTGATGGTTCACTCCCCAATGGGCTACAATGGCTGGAGCGGCACCAATCCGAAGCCAGGAGCCAGGACCTTCCTCCAGGTCTCCCACGTGGGTGCAGGGGCCCAAGGACTTGGGCCATCTTCTACTGCTTTCCCAAGCCATAGCAGAGAGTTGTATGAGAAGTAGAGCAGCCAGGTCTCAAACCGGCACCCATATGGGATGCCGGTGCTTCAGGCCAGGGCATTAACCTGCTGTGCCACAGCGCCGGCCCCCTGACTGGTTTTATTTTAATACATAATTGTTTGTCCTGATTCTGAAAGACATAATTTTCCTAAAAAATAAAGTGTAATAAACCATTTTAACTTACACACAAAATAGGTAAGTTTTATGGGAGTATTTATGGTACACAACATACTGTAAACCATAAAATTACTAAAAATAAGGCATACCATATGTACAGTAATACAGAACTTACTTCAAGAGATCTTAGGTAAACCAAGTTCAAGTTTGAGACAATACAGATACCATGATTGTATCCATATGTACACCACTGAAACATACATAACTTGAGCCAGGAGTCAAGTCCTAAGCAGGAGGCCAGATGCTTACCCTGGGGCTGTGGTTTAAGCCAGTCCTGACCCAACTTGTAGCCGATCAGAGACTGTAGCAGGAAAGAGACAGGCAACTCCACAGATGAACTTGGGTTGTGCCCTCCCCCTCCAAGTTCCTAAGAAAGGATGTAGCCAGAGCCCCCAGACTCTGGAAGGGTCCTGCCCCTCCAAAGGCATTGCTCCGTGGCAGGTCAGGCTCCTGCATCAGCCTCGGGATATCAGCTGCACCTGAAGCCTGGGGAGTCTGGCCTTCGCTCTGCCAAGAGGCGATTACAGAGAAAAAACAAAGACCTTCCCCTCCTTCAGAGCTGGCATAGGGTGAGTGAGAAGGTGTTCCAGGAACTGCGGACTTCAGGTCAAGACAGGGGGCCGGGAGTCCGGCAAGATGGCGGAATAGGAAGGGAGCACACGATAGTCGAGGAAGCGAAAGTTTAATAAAAGAGGAGATACTGCAGGTTCAAGGAAGAGTTGGGGAAGAAACAGCAGAGGAAACTCTTCTGGAACTAGTGATTCACAGTGGATCTGCATGGAGGGTACGGGAGCCCACGGCTCGGGACACCAGCTGCAGAATCTACGCACCAGCGCTGGAACGCGAGGTAAGCCGAAACCTCAGTAGACCGAGACACTGGCGGGGAAGCGGGAGGAGGAGCCTATAGGGAACGAGGCTTGAAGCCCCGTGGAGGAAAGTTCACCAGGCTAACTAGAGGAGAGAGGAAAAAAAAAAAAGGGACTGGTATGGACACAAGTCTCTCTCTCTCCGCTCACCTCTCAAAGTTGAGCAAGACAAAGAGCACACGCCATTTTGGACATACATAAAAGCTGAGCAACCTCAGGGCTGCGCCCGCCCTCATCCAAACAGTAAAACCTGACTCTGAGGGGGTGAAATTACAGGAGGTTAGGACCTAGTGAATGTCTAGAACTAATGAACAGAGACTGTGAAAAAAGACAGTGGGTGAGAGAATTCACAGAGTTCACATGAGTATTCTCCAGAGGCGCTACAATTCAGTAATCTTGGCAACCCGGTGGGAGACTGCAGGAGAATTTGAGCCCACACTGAGGGCAGAACAGATTCCCTGTGTGGTCCTTGGGAAAGAGTAGGCAATGTTATACCTACAGGAGCCAGAGATCCGGAAGCTGACTACCTTCAATTCTGCTCAGCTGTGCGGAATTACTTCCCTTCTGAATCAAAAGAGAGAGAGAGAGATTTACCACGCCTAACCTGGGTGTGTCACCTTTGGCACACCCCTAATCCTGAAGATCCAAACAGAGCTCTCTGGCCACACCCATCTCAAGCCTCTAAGGCTCCATCAAAAGCATACAGTCCACTTAATACACTCATAGTATAACAAGAAAAAACACCACAGAGAGGGAACAAGAATCCAAAGAGTATCTCCACAATGCCAAGCAACAAACGCAGAAACTGAGGAAACAAGAACAAGGAAGACATTATGACGCCCCCAAATGAACAAGACACCCCAAGCCAAGATTATGAAGATGATGAGATAGAAGAAATGCAAGATACGGAACTCAAAAAATTTATGATAAGAACATTTAGAAGTTTTCAAAAACAAATTCTTGAACTACAGAAATCCTTACTAGACAGGATAGAAAATCTCTCGTGAAAATGAAATCTTAAGGAGGAATCAAAATGAAACGCAGAAACTAGTTGAAGAGGAAAGTGTGACAGTGAAGAGAAATCAAAATGAAATGAAGAAGTTAATAGATCAAATGACAAACACATTAGAGAGCCTTAAAAACAGAGTCAGTGAAGCAGAAGAGAGAATATCGGACTTAGAAGACAGAGCACAGGAAAGGATACAGTCAAACCAAAGAAAAGAAGAGGAAATTAGAAATCTAAAAAATATTGTTGGGAATCTACAGGATACTATTAAAAAACCCAACATTCGAGTTCTAGGAGTTCCTGAAGGCATGGAGAGAGAGAAAGGATCAGAAGGCCTTTTTAGTGAGATACTAGCAGAGAACTTCCTGGGTTTGGAGAAGGACACAGACATCCTAGTACAGGAAGTCATAGAACTCCTAGTAAACATGACCAAAAGAGATCCTCACCACGACACATTGTAATCCAACTCACCACAGTGAAACATAAAGAAAAGATCCTAAAATGTGCAAGAGAGAAATGTCAGATTACTCTCAGAGGATCTCTAATTAGACTCACAGCAAACTTCTCATCCTACAGGCTAGGAGGGAATGGCAAGACATAGCCCAGGTACTAAGAGAAAAACTGCCAGCCCAGAATATTATATCCTGCAAAGCTCTCATTTGTGAATGAAGGTGAAATAAAGACCTTACATAGCAAACAGAAATTGAAAAAATTTGTCACCACTCGTCCAGCCCTGCAAAAGATGCTTAAAGATGTGCTACACACAGAAACACAGAAACACAGTCATCAATATGAAAGAAGGTAAAGGAAGGAAACCTCACAGCAAAAGATCACAGGAAGTGCAAAGCATATATTAGAAAATATCTTTGGGAAAATGGCAGGGCAAAGTTACCTCTTATCAATAGTCACATTGAACGTTAATGGCCTCAACTGTCCAGGTAAAAGACACAGATTGGCTGAATGAGTTAAGGAACAAAACCCATCTATTTGCTGCTTACAAGAAATACATCTTTCCAACAAAGATGCATGCAGACTGAAAGTGAAAGCTAGAAAAAGATATTCCATGCCAACAGAAATGAAAAAAGACAAAAATAACAGACAAAATAAACTTTAACACAAAAACTGTTAAGAGAGACAAAGAGGGGCACTATATAATGATTAAGGGATTAATTCAACAGGAAGATATGATTATAAATGTATATGCACCTAATTACAGGGCACCGGTCTATTTAAAAGATATGTTAAGGGACTTAAAGGGAGACTTAGATTCCAATACAATAGTACTGGGGAACTTCAATACTCCACTCTCAGAAACAGATCAATCGGACAGAAGATCAACAAAGAAACAGATTTAAACGACACTATAGCCCAAATGGATCTAACAGATATCTACAGAACTTTTCATCCTACACATAAAGCATTTACATTCTTCTCAGCAGTACATGGAACCTTCTCTAGGATTGACCACATACTAGGCCATAAAGCAAGTCTCAGCAATTTCCAAAGAATTAGAATCATACCATGCAGCTTCTCAGACCATAAAGGAATGAAGTTGGAAATTAGCAACTCAGGAATCCCTAGAGCATACGCAAACATAGGGAGATTGAACAACATGCTCCTGAATGAACAATGGGTCATAGAAGAAATCAAAAGAGAAATCAAAAATTTTCTGGAAGTAAATGAGGATAACAGCACAACATATCAAAACTTATGGGATGCAGCAAAAGCAGTGTTAAGAGGAGAGTTCATAGCAATAGGTGCCTACATTAAGAAATTGGAAATGCACCAAATAAATGAGCTTTCAATGCATCTCAAGGATCTAGAAAAACTTCAGCAAACCAGACCCAAATCTAGTAGGAGAAGAGAAATAATTAAAATCAGAGAAGAAATCAATAGGATTGAATCCAAAAAAAGTTACAAAAAAAATCAGCCAAATGAGTAGCTAGTTTTTTGAAAAAATAAACAAAATTGACACCCCATTGGCCCAACTAACTAAAAAAAGAAAAAACCCAAATCAATAAAATCAGAGATGAAAAAGGAAACGTTAACAACAGACACCACAAAAATAAAAAGAATCATCAGAAATTACTACAAGGACTTGTATGCCAGCAAACAGGGAAACCTATCAGAAATGGATAGATTCCTGGACACATGCAACCTACCTAAATTGAACCAGGAAGACATAGAAAACCTAAACAGACCCATCACTGACACAGAAATTGAAACAGTAATAAAGGCCCTCCCAACATAGAAAAGCCCAGGACCAGATGGATTCACTGCTGAATTCTACCAGATATTTAAAGAACTAAAAAAAAAAAGAAGAAGAAACATAAATAACTTAGGAAAAAAGGTTTGGAAAGACAGGCCTCTGAAAACAGCAATACAAAACATACAAAAAGGTGGTTCTAATTATATGATTTTATGTTTTAAAATTTCATGAACTGACCAGTTTATTGAAATGGTTTTCATGAAAATAATATTATAATCTAAGGCATCTTTACCTTGGTATTGTGCTCCAAATCTTTACTATTCAGAAGTGCATGGTTAATTCGAAAAACTATCCAGTCAAACAGGGCACTGTACAGAGATTTAGCCATGGAGTTCCTCACCGTCACAGCCTAAAATATAAGAAAAGCGTTAGGAGTGTAGCAGAACTAGCAATAATCTAAGTCACTGAAACTAATATGGTTTTCTCTCACTTAATACAGAAAATCTACTATCCTTGTTTAGAAAGTATTATTAATAAGTAATTATTAATAAGCTGAACTTGAAGTCTTCTGTCTGTACTCATAATTCAGTCCCACTTGGGGAATCTAACCTAAAATTGCCATAAACGGTATAAGAACAACAAAATCTAGGTCAGTTAGTTAAAATTATTTTAAACTGAATTATCTCCCCTAAGAAAGAAAGCACAATGGGAAGTTGACAAACAACCTTGCCAGCTAAAAGGGGAAAGACCACTCTACGCAGAGGAATAAATCCTCCAAAGGGAGTGGGGGGCATTAGTATCATTAGTATCCGTGGACTCCTAGTCCACTCTTAGAACACACAACCCTGCCACAATGTGCTCCTAGCTGTCTTCCGCCTGCCATCCATGTTCACTTCCACAACGATTCCATCCCTGTCGCTCCCCCATTCGCAGAGGAACGACACTAGACCCTGCACTGTTCTTTTGTCTGCTCGGCCCTCCCTGGGTTTGCTGCTGGTTCTTCCCGGGTTGGCTGCCGTCCCTCCACCTCCGTGGAGGGGCGGGCCCCCCTGCCACTTTCCCCACTTCCGCGGGGGAGCGGCACACCGCGGGCCGGCTCTCTCGGGGGCTGCACAGGTGTTCCTTCAGATAGATGTTCCTGGTGCATGTTGTCTCTCTCCTCCTTTATAGTCCTCTTCCACCAATCCCAACTCTGCTACCCACACGCCGAGTACACTGCTCTCTTCCAATCAGGAGCAGGATCAGCTCCTGCAGGTCATCACTCAAGTTGGCGAGAGACAGCTGCGTAGAAGTTGTTTACTCCCTTCTCAGTGCCATATTGTGGGAGAGCAGATGCATAGAATAAGTCTTAATTCCAGTAACTTAGTCTAGTCTGAGTTGCTCCCCACACATCCCCAGACACAGTAACAACTTTTCACTCCAAGGTATGAAATTCTTCCCCCTTCACTTCATGCTTTCTCCAGTTTACGGAAATTCTCTGTACTAACCACTTTTTCTCTAAGTCTGAAAATGTTCTAAAAAGCAAAGGCTATTAAAGAAAACCCACCATTTACAGAACACGTCAACTTACAAAGCAAGCATGCATGCTATGCAATTAAGCCCTAGCCCTTAGAAGATCACAGATCCTGCCAATGTATACATTCATCATCTGGGGTCTGACTTGGAAGCTTATATAACCAGGCAGGTATTTACATCCCTGTCCTGAGGGTAGAAGAAACGTGAGAAGGCCTTCCAATTCAACTTCTCTTTCTTTTTTTTAAAGATTAACTTTTTTATTTGAAAGGCAGAAGCAGAGAGAGAGAGAGGAGAAACAGAGAGTCTTCCATCCACTGGTTCACTACCCAAACAGCTGCAACAGCCGGGGCTAGGCCAGGCCAAAGCCAGGAGCCAAAAGCTTCGTTCGTCCAGGTCTCCCATGTGCATGCAGGGACCCAAGGATGTGGGCCATCTTCCACTCTTTCCCAGGCCAGGGCAGAGAGTGGGATTGGTTGTGGAGCAGCTGGAACTCAAACTGGCGCCCATATGGGATGCCAGCACTGCAGGCAGTGGGTTTACCATTTATGCCACAGTACTGACCTCCCAACTTCTCTTATGCTACTTGGATAACCATGGACAAGGTACTTAGAACTCAGAGGCTACGGCTTATGCATCTGTAAAATGGATGTAATACTGTGGCCGGTGCTGTGGTACAGCAGAAAAGCAGTGGAAAATGGTCCAAGTGCTTGGGTCCCTGCCCTATGTGGGAGATCCAGAAGAAGCTCCTGGCTCCTAGATTCATATCAGCCCAGCAATGGTTGTTGCAGCCATCTCAGGAGTGAAACAGAAAATGGAAGACCTCTCTTTGCCTCTGCCTCTGCCTTTCAAATAATAAATAAATCTTTTTTTAAATGGAGTTAATACTACAACCTAACTCACTGATGATAAATTCACTTCTGAATTTAAAGGAAAAATATTACACCTAAAGTCTCTAGACCAAAAAGTAATTACACACAAAGGAAAGACTCAAATCAAATTCTCAAGACCCAGCTACTCCTCTTCCAAATCAGCTCTCTGCTAATGCACCTGGGAAAGGAGTGGAGGATGGTCCAAGCACTTGAGCCCCTTTATCCAAGTGGGAGACCCGAAAAAAATTCATGGCTCCAGCCCCAGCCAACCGAGCCATCTGGGAAGTAAACCAGAAAATGGAACATCTCTGTCTTTCTGTAATTGTTTCAAATAAATTAGTAAATCTTAAAGAAAAAAAAAAAAAAGGAAAGTGTCGCTCCCCCTCTTCGTGGAGGAACGACACAGGACCCTACACTGTTCTTTTGTCTGCTCGGCCCTTCCCGGGTTTGCTGCTGGTCCTTCCCGGGTTGGCTACCTTCCCTTCCACCTCCATGGAAGGGCGGTGCCCCCTGCCACTTTCCCCACTTCCGCGGGGGAGCGGCACACCGCCGGCCGGCTCTCTCGGGGGCTGCTCAGATGTTATTCGGATGTTCCCCTTAGATGTTCCTGGTGCATGTTGTCTCTCTCCTCCTTTATAGTCCTCTTCCACCAATCCCAACTCTGCTACCCACGCGCCGAGTATGCTGCTCTCCTCCAATCAGGAGCAGGATCAGCTCCTGCCGGTTACTGGTCGAACTGGAGGCAGCTGTGTAAAAGTTGTTTCCTCCTCTCCCAGCGCCATATTGTGGGAGAGCAGATGCATAGAATAAGTCTTAATTCCAGTAACTTAGTCTAGTCTGAGTTGCTCCCCACAGGAAAGTAGCTCTCAGAGTGGCGACTATACAATGTGACATCAGACACATGTACTTGGAGGCACAGGAGTGGGATAAATGGATCCGTGTGAGCCTAGAACACATGGTCTGCAGCTCACTCACCACTTCCCCACTCCAGTGTCTTCTACTACTCTAAGCTCACATGACCTTCATACAGTCACTAGCAAATGCTGTTCTCAGCACGTGAGAAACACGCGCGTGGTATAATAACAGCAACAAATCCCAGCTGGCAGCTGCAGGTCACACATGGTGTGTAAACCCATGCAGCCAGGCGAGCTATCCGAGAAAAAACAAAGTGGAAGAGAAAAGACAGAGACTGCATCCTGGAGACCCTGCCTGTCAGTGGTCAAGAGAAGAACACACAGCAGAAAGACCTGCAGAGGCAGGGTCAGCGGTGACAAAGCCAGGCCAGTACCATGTGCCAGAAGGTCACTGAAGGCATTGCCCCAGGAAGGACTCATCTTCCAGGTCAAGCACTGCTCAACCACCCCCGATCCACCCCAGGAATAGCACAAGGCTTCTCAGTACTGAGGAGATCAAGGTCCTGTGAGGAAAGTTCAAGTCTATTGCTTAAAATCACATTCAATTTCAAGTTTCCTAGTCTACAGAAAATTCTTGATCAAATTTCAACAGCCAAGAAAATATTTTGCTGTTGTTTTCATTTCATAAAGAGAAATACATCAGTGGGTTAACGCACTGGTCTGAAGCGCCGGCATCCCACATGGGCCCTGGTTCGTGTCGCGGCTGCTCCACTTCCAATGCTGCTCTCTGCTATGGCCTGGGATAGCAGTAGAAGATGGCCCAAGTCCTTGGGCCCCGGCACCCATGTGGGAGACCTGGAAGAAGCTCCTGGCTCCTGGCTTCAGATAGGCGCAGCTCTGGCCATTGTGGCCATCTGGGGAGTGAACCATTGGATGAAAGACCTCTGTCTCTCTCTGCCTCTCCTCTCTCTCTGTAACTCCAACTTTCAGAGAAATAAATAAATCTTCAAAAAAATACATCACAAACTTTTCAAAATTTATTTCATAGAAAATGTGCTCACCTCTGCCAACTTGTACGGCAAAATAAGCTTTTCTCCCACTGTCACTGTCTTCCGTGTAACTAATGCTTCAAACAGCATCTCTTCTTTAACCTGCAGAGCAGAAAAGTAATTCCTATAAGGAATATGTATGACAACAGGCAGAAACATTTTACTGAAAAATCAGACAAAAATATCATCAAACAGCAAATGTACAATTTTTAAAAAAAGGAAAACAAACAAAAACTACACTGGGAAACTTTAATATCAGCCAAAATATCAAAATCAGTAGGAGTCCCACTCAACACCAACAGGATCTCATGCAAAGCTGCAAGGAGAAAACAGAAAGTAACATAGGTCTTTAAAAAAAAAAAAAAAAAAAAAGTTTTATTTTTTTCTATTATTTCCCCAGGCCTACTGCACGGGCGGGCGGCAGGCACCTAACCACTTGAGTTGAAGTCAGGAATCGGAGCTGCTGGGAACCAAACCCAAGTACTCCAAGGAAGGAAATGGGCATTTGAGCCGCTGTCTTAACACTTAGTCCAAATACCTTCCAATTAGGTCTTTTTCAAATTAAAAAGCTTACTTTCTGATCACAATGGATAAATGAGCATCACTGTACAGAATATAAAAAATGAAAAACTGGAAAAAAATATTTTCAGACAACCAATCATAATCCAATAATCTTAACAAAAACCTAAAACGTGATAGCACTTCTCAAATTTCAGGAATTCCAGTGGGCACCTCTTTATGTTTCAGATGTGTAATTCTATTCCTGGATGTTGAACTTCAACAGAAAGCTCTTGGCTCTCTCTGTTCAGTTTCTCTGTCCAGCGGTAACTACTAGAATGAATTTGGCAAGAATCATGTCGGTTCCTGTTTTGTGCACTTTTACATGTATTAAATGTATTTATAAACATTGTTATACTCACAAGTATATTGAACTTTTCCCCGATTGGTATATTGTTAGTATATATTTTACATCTAACTATGTTGATCCTTTAGATTAAGTTTACTTACTCTAATGGCTGCACAGCATCCCAGCATGTATACCCACTACACTGTTGAATCCACTCTTGTTGACACTATTTACAAGTACATTTACACTATTTACCATTTTCCACCACTGGAAAAATACAAATGAATAGTTATATATGAGTTCAAGAGTTTCTGAGAAGAACAAACCCAAAAATGGAATCTCTAGGATGTGGTATATACATTTTCTGCTGTAAGGATACTGGCAACCTCCTGTAAACAACTTTTATCACTTTGTCCTCTTGGCTGTAAAGAACAAAGAGTTCTTGTTTCTTCAAAGTCTGACTATACTGGGTGTTACCAGGCTTTTGGATTCTGCCAAACTTCTGAGCATGAAATTGTCAAACAAGAACATTTAAAGTATCCACCACGGGGTCGGTGATATGGTGTCTTAGGTTCGAGACCCAGCTGCTCCACTTCTGATCCAGCTTTCTGCTGATGCACCTGGGAAAGCAGCAGAGGATGGCCCAAGTCCTTGGGCCCCTGCGCCCCGGTGGGAGACCTGGAAAAAGCTCCTAGGTTTTGGCTTCGGATCGGCCCAGCTCCTGCTGTTGTGGCCATTAGGGGAGTAAACCAGCAAATGGAAGATCTCTTTCTCTCTCTCTCTCTGCCTCTGCCTCTCTGTGGTTCTGCATTACAAATGAATGAAAATCTTGAAAAACAATTTTTTTCTAATAAATCTATCGACCCACAGGGGTCTATGTTGTGGCATAATGTGTTAAGCCACGAACTGCAGTGTGGGTATCCCATATGGGAGCCAGTTCAAGTCACAGCTGCTGCACTTCTGATCAAGCTCCCTGCTAATGCACATGGGAAAGCAGTGGGAGATGGCTCAAGTCTTTGAGCCCCTGTACCTACAGGGGAGACTAAGAAGAAGCTCCCGACTCCGGGCTTCAGTCTGGCACAGCCCTGGCTCTTGCAGCCATTTGGGGAGTGAACCAGTGGATGGACAACTCACTTACTCTCTCCCTCTCCCCCCTTCTAACTCTGCCCTTCAAATAAATAAAATAAATCTCTTACAAAAAAGTATCCACACACAAACATAAAACATCAATAACATTTTATATACACAATCTAATATAGAAATACAGCAGCAAAAGTTTGATTACAAGGAGAGCCTAAAATAGAAAAGGAGAGAGGTGAGCATTATTACCACTAATTTATGACAGGCATAAACTTTTTTTGTTGTTGTTGTTCTTGTTGTTGTTGTTTTTGACAGGCAGAGTTAGACCGTGACAGAGAGAGAGACAAGGAGAAAGGTCTTCCTTCCACTGGTTCACCACCCCAAAATGGGTGCTACAGCCGGCGTGCTGTGCCAATCCGAAGGCAGGAGCCAGGTGCTTCTCCTGGTCCCCCATGCAGGTGCAGGGCCCAAGCACTTAGGCCATCCTCCACTGCCTTCCCGGGCCACAGCAGAGAGCTGGACTGGAAGAGGAGCAACCAGGATGAGAACCCGGCGCCCATATGGGATGCTGGTGCCACAGGCCGAGGATTAACCAAATATGCCATGGTGCCAGCAGGTCAATTAACTTTTAAACGCTGATTTTAAAACATACTGAATGGGGGAAAACATCAGGCACATGTAGGACCATAAAATGTGTGTACAGCTTCTTCAGAGCATCAGTGACTCAATGCTTACATTTTAAAAGCTGGCTATATTTGGGGCACATGACCTTCACAAATACACTAAAACTAAAAATGAACCACCATATTTAAATACAAACACTCAAGATTCCAGATACACTTAAATCCTTTGAAAAATAAAAATGTCACCACATAATACAAAAATGGCAAAAATGTATGATAAAAACCAAAGTACTATTGTGAGGCATGAATGTTTTTAGTTTATATCTATATTTTATTTATTTGAGAGGCAGGGAAAGAAAGAGAAACAGACAGTATCACTTCCTCAGATGCCCTACGTAGGCAGGGATGGAACAGGCTGAAGTCAGGGGCAGGGAATTCAACCTGCTTCCACCACACAGGTGGCAGAGACCCAAGGATGTAAGCCATCACCACCAACTCCAAGGCTGAGATTAGCAGGAAGCTGAAATCAGGAGCGGAGCCAGACTCACACTTGGCAGGTCCCCTGATATGGGACATACGTACCCAAGCAGCATCTTGAACATGAGGGCAAACACCCACCCCTATTGTGAGGCAGACATCTGCAATAACTCAAGGTCAACATCTCAGAATAAATGAGCTCAACAAAGTTCTTAGAAGAAACAAACAATGTGAGCTAGCAAGAGCAAGGAACAATGCTCACTTCCACAACCTTGAGGGGACAGTATCAACCGGTACAACCATTGTAGAGAATAATTTGTCCTTATCAATAAGGCTCAATACATACACATACTATAACCCCAAAATTCTACACCTTCGACTAACTCCTAGAATAATTCTCACACATGTTAGCAAGGTGCAATGCACAAAAATGCCTATCGCAGTTCAATGTAACACCGACAATATGAAAGAAGAATAGAAATGATAACCACTACATTCACAATGATGGTTTTACCTTTGGATAGCACAGGAAACACAGCGGGCTTCGGTTCATGCAATACCTCACTGAGTGGGGCTGTGAGTGCCTAAGTGTTTTTATATTGTGCTTTACATGGTATGCGTGTTAGAAACATTCCCTAACTTAGAGGAAAGCAAGAAAATAGAGTAAAACAGAAATAAATAATAAAATGGTAGAAATGATAAATCTACCATAAAAATTAAGGAACACGAACAGAAAGCTAACATGAAGAAAAATGGTAAAGAATCACACTAATACATCATTTACAGGGAGGGCAGTGTTGTGGCATAGTGGCTTAAGCCACCAGCTGTAGCACTGGCATCCATTTTTGTGGGTGGCAGCTCAAGTCCTGGCTGCTCCATTTCAGATCCAGCTCTCTGCTATGGCCAGGAGAGCAGTGGAGGATGGTAAAAGTGCTTTGGCCCCTGCACCCACATGGGAGACCCAGAAAAAGCTCCTGACTTCTGGCTTCAGCCTGGCCCAGACTGGGCACCTCTGGCCATTTAGGGAGTGAACCAGCAAGGAGAAGACCTCTCTCACTCTCTGTAACTCTGCCTTTCAAATATATGAAGTAAGTAAATAATTTACAAAGAACATCAATCAATAAATTTTAGGGGTCACTGTTGTGACTTAGCACCATTTGCAAAGCTGGCATCCCATTTTGGAGTGTCATAGTTCAAATCCCATCTACTCCACTGCCAATACAACTTTCTGCTAATGTGCTCAGGAAGGCAGTGGAAAAGGGTCAAACACCTGGATCCCTGCACTCCCGTGGGGAACCAGGATGGTCCAGACTCAGCTGCTGAGGCCATTTGAGAAGTGAACCAGAGAATGGAAGATCTCTCTCTGTGTGTTTCTCCCTCTTTTCCTGTTATTCTGCCTTCAAATAAATAAATTTTTTTTTTTTTTTTTTTGACAGGCAGAGTGGACAGTGAGAGAGAGAGAGAGAGACAGAGAGAAAGGTCTTCCTTTGCCGTTGGTTCACCCTCCAATGGCCGCCGCGCTGCGGCCGGCACACCGCGCTGATCCGATGGCAGGAGCCAGGAGCCAGGTGCTTTTCCTGGTCTCCCATGCGGGTGCAGGGCCCAAGCACCTGGGCCATCCTCCACTGCACTCCCTGGCCACAGCAGAGGGCTGGCCTGGAAGAGGGGCAACCGGGACAGAATCCGGCGCCCCGACCGGGACTAGAACCCGGTGTGCCGGCGCCGCTAGGCGGAGGATTAGCCTAGTGAGCCGCTAAACTCTTTTATTTTTTAAGAGTTATTTTATTTATTTGAAAGACAGAGTTAGAGAGAGAGGCAGAGACACAGAGAGAGGTCTTCCATCCGCTGGTTCACTCCCCAGATGGCCGCGACAGCCGGAGCTGCGCCTATCCGAAGCTAGGAGCCAGGAGCTTCTTCCAGGTCTCCCACGTGGGTGCAGGCGCCCAAGGACTTGGGCCATCTTCTACTGCTATCCCAGGCCATAGCAAAGAGCTAGATCGGAAGAGAAGCAGCAGGGACTAGAACCAGCGCCCATTTGGGATGTCGGCACTTCAGGCAGGGGCTTTAACCCACTGCGCCACAGCGCCGACCCAAATGAACTCTTTTAAATAATAAATTTTAAACTTGTAATACATTATTTCCCAGAAAAAAAACACAAAGTATCAAAATAAATCAAGAATATTTGAAAACCCTAAAAAGTCAGTTAACCTGGAAGAACTGGAAAAGACACCAAATACCGTTGCTCATGAGGTTGTTCTCTCTCAAACTTGTAAAGAAAAGAAACACGTGACTCTCTGCTGATGACCTTTCTTCTAACTACAGAACAAAGGGAGAACAAAGGATGACCAACCACTCCAGTCCTCTGAAGGAGAGGGCTGAGCAAAACTGAACTCATAAAGATGGCACAGGCACACACACATGCACATGCGTACACAAACACAAACACACCCATCTTGTCTATTCCATTTGACAATCATTCTAAGAAAAATATTACTGAATTCTTAGCTATCTCCATCATTTTTAAAATATTCTTATTTTATACTGTATTAAAGAAAACAAGTGGCAATGGGTTCAATATCTAACTTGTAAGATCTCATAGTTACCTGAGAAACTGATACATGTATACTAAAAACAGATTCTTTACATTGTCTCAACAGATATCAAAAATACATAAACACATAAATCTGGCAAACACTGAAAAGTTTTCCGGAATGGTGAGGATTCTAAAATCTCACCACGCCGGCGCCGTGGCTCAATAGGCTAATCCTCCACCTAGCGGCGCTGGCACACCAGGTTCTAGTCCCGGTCAGGGCGCCGGATTCTGTCCCAGTTGCCCCTCTTCCAGGCCAGCTCTCTGCTGTGGCCCGGGAGTGCAGTGGAGGATGGCCCAGGTGCTTGGGCCCTGCACCCCATGGGAGACCAGGAGAAGCACCTGGCTACTACCTTCGGATCAGCGCAGTCCGCCAGCCGCAGCGCGCCAGCTGTGGTGGCCATTGGAGAGTGAACCAACGGCAAAAAGGAAGACCTTTCTCTCTGTCTCTCTCTCTCACTATCCACTCTGCCTGTCAAAAAAATAAATAAATAAAAATAAAAATAAATAAAATCTCACCACAAAATCAGCCTCCACAGTCACCACCAATTCATCTGCTAGAGCTTGTTCGTTCACCTCTCAAAATTTAACAAAAATCCATCACATGGGCTTTCACTGCCCCCTCAGTTAACAAAAAATACCTGGAAACATTAAATTAAAACACTACTTTTAAAATACTTGTTCTTCCAAACTAATCTGTAATTACCATTGAATTGAATCACCTTGGAAAAGAGGAAAACTAAATTAAATCTTAAAGGAAGAATTTAAACTGCAATTATACCAGTTATCGCAACTATCTTTGTATTTCATATCAACCAAAGCCTTAAGGTTACAATTGCTGTCAATCTGAAGGGACTAGAAGCAATGATTTTTTAAAATAACTTCTGGGGCCAGTGCTATGGCACAGCAGATTAATTCAGCACCAGCATACCATATGGACGCCTGTTCGAGTCCCAGCCACTCCACTTCCAATCCAGCTCTCTGCTATGTCCTGGGAAAGCAGTGGAGGGGGTCCAAGTCCTTGGGAGACTGGAAAAAAGCTCTTGGCTCTGGATCAACTCAGCTCTGGCTGTTGTGGTCATTTGGAGAGTGAATCAGTAGATGGAAGACCTCTCTCTCTACCTCTCTGTCTTTCTGGCTCTATCTCGTCTATAACTCTATCTTTCAAATAAATAAAATAAATCTTTAAAAAAAAAACTTCTGAGAACTAACTACAGGCAGGATATCTTCAGCCCCTGAACCTTCAAGCAATTTTCCTTCTATTTAACACTACATCTCCACCCTAGAAATAGATCATACTACATACAAGAAGGAATTTAATTTTTTTTATTATTTATTTTATTTATTGAAGACAAAGTGGGGAAAGAATAGACAGACAGATTATCAAAGAGACAAGAGGCCTCCCATCCACTGGTGAACTTCCTAAATGACCACAGCAGTCTGGCCGGGGCCAGGCTGCAGCTGGGAATAGAGAACACAACCTAGGTCTCCCACTCAAGCAGGGAGATTGATGTAACTGAATCATTGCCAGCTCACTCGGAAGATGTGTGATAGCAGGGAGCTTCAATCAGGAGCAGAGCCAGAACTCAACCCCAGGTGTTCCAATACAGGATGTAGGCTGCGGCACATGAGCATCTCAAGTGGTCAGATGCCCAGGAACGAATTCAAGAAGCTTGGATTTAAAAGGGAGATCTGCAATCAAATCAATTTGCTGGGGGCTGACGCTGCAGTGTAGCCGAAAAGCCTCCGCCTGCAGTACCGACATCCCATATGGGCACTGATTCTAGTCCCAGCTGCTCCACTTCTGATCCAGCTCTCTGCTGTGGCCTGGGAAAACAGTAGAAGATGGCCCAAGTGCTAGGGCCCCTGCACCCGCATGGGAACCCCAGAAGAAGCTCCTGGCTCCTGGCTTCAGATCAACACAGCTCCAGCAGTTGCAGCCAATTGGGGAGTGAACCAGTAATGAAAGACCTTTCTCTCTCTCTCTCTCTCTCTCTCTGCCTCTAACTCTCTGTAACTCCTTTCAAATGAATAAATAAATCTTTGAAAAAAAGAATAAAATAGAAAGCACATGATTCATAATTACTAAAAACTGGAAAAGTCAAAATGTCCTTCAATAAATCAATGTATAAACAAACTGTACATCTACATGATGTACAGGGATAGAAAGAAAGAAATTAGCTATCAAGGCAAAAAAAAAAATCCAAACCAACAACCTGGGTACATATTTTTTTAAATGTATTTATTTGGGGGGCTGGCGTGGCACGGCAGGTTAAGCCATCACCTGCCATGTTGACATTCCATATGGAGCACTGAGTCAAGTCCAGCTGCTCTGCTTCCAATCCAGCTCCCTACTAATGTGCCTGAGAAAGCAGCAGGGAGGGCTCAAGTACTTGGGCCCCTACACACATGTGGAAGACCCAGATGGAGTCCTCGATTCCTGGCTTTGTTCTAGCCCAGCCCCAAATGTTTCAGCCCTTTGGGGAGTAAACCAGAAGACAGAAGATCTCTTTCTCTTTCTCTCTCTCTCTCTCTCTGTATCACTCTGCCTTTCCAATAAATAAAATAAATCAAAGGCAGAGAGTTAGAAAAAGACAGAGACAAAGACATCTCTCATCTGCTGCTTCACTCAACACATGGCGGCAGCAGCAGGCACTGCACCAGGCCAAAGTCAGGAACCAGGAACTCAATCCAGGTCTCTCCCATGAACAACAAGGGACCCAGGTACTCGAACCATGACCTCCCAGGATATGCATCAGCAAGAATCTGCAATCAGAAGTGGGCTGAAACTCACACCCAGGCACTCAATGAGGGATGCTGGTGTCTCAAGCAGGACCCTACCCACTGCGCCAAACACTTGCTCTGGGAGTAGCAGGGTAGGAGATGGAGACATTGACATCCCATTAACCTATGAAGAAAAAAGTATACTACCTTTTTTGTTTTATCTCACCCAAATACTTCATTTTCCAATAAAATGAACAAAATCTTAGTATGAGAAGTGCTAAGTAAGAAGGGAGAAAAATTAGTATGGGACCATAACATTACATAGTTTAACATAGGAAGACTCATCCTCTTCAAAAATGCGGAGAAGATGGATTCCTGGGGCATATGGAGGGCAGAGAGGGAAGCCCGGGTGTTTAAAGTGCCAGCACACTCACACCAGAGGGGGCAGTTATCAGGACACAGCTGGCCTTTGGCAAACACTATGAGAAAATAGTGTCTAATAAAATCAGGATAAGTTTAAAGGTAATAACCCTTTTATACCTTATAAAGTAGGTATGCAATAGAAAAAAAGAGGCATTACCCAGCAGTTGAAATGACAACTGATGGGGCCGGCACTGTGGTGGAGCAAGTAAAGCCACCACCTGCGGTGCTGGCATCCCATATGGGTGCCAGTTCGAGTCTGGCTGCTCCACTTCTAATCCAGCTCTCTGCTATGGCCTGGGAAAGCAGTGGAGGAAAGCCCAAATCCTTGGGTCCCTGCACCTGTGTGGGAGAGCTGGAAGAAGCTCCTTGCTCCTGGCTTCCGATTGGCACAACTCCGGCCATTGCAGCCAATTGGGGACTCAACCAGCAGAACCAAGACTTTCTCTCTCTCTCTCTCTCTCTCTGACTCTCCTTCTCTCTGTGTAACTCTGATTTTCAAATAAAATAAATAAATCTTAAAAAAAAAAAAAAGAAAAAGAAATGACAACTAAGAATTTGTCACTCACTTCTAATAATTCTGAGACAACAGGCAGAACTTCAGGATTACAGATATCAATGGAGTCATCCCGGTATGTCTTCCTCTTGTAACAGATATTACCCAAATGCAGTATTGCTGAGAGAAGAGAGAAGATCCTGTGAAAATGAGACAACAAATTACAGCTTGCCCATCTGCATTCTCAGTTTATTTCATTCCAAAATCTCAGGTAATCAAATTAAGCATGCAGATCATAAATTTCAGAGAAACAAAACTATGGGAATGCTAATTATAATGAGAATTACTAGGTACTTCCTTCACATCAAGTACCACACAGTGCTTTACAACAGCTGACTTTCAGTATTGCATCACTTGCTGCAGAGCTGTCCAGGGCACTGGACTGCTACTATTTGAATCTGCTGTACTTCTAGAAAGTCCACACGCAGGGACCAGCAATGCAGAGTAGCAGACTAAGTCACCACCTGCGACAACAGCATCCCTACGGGCACTGATTTGTGTTCTGGCTGCTCCACTTCATCCAGCTCCCTGCTAAAACTGCAAGACCCAGATGAAGCTCCTGGCTTCCAACTGGCCATGGAGGCCTTGCCTTGTGGGGAGTGAGCCAGCAGATGCAAGATCTCTTTCGCTGTTTCTCCCTCTCTCTCACTGTAACTCTGACATTCAAATACATAAATAAATCTTCAAAACATTTTTAAATTAAATCAAAACATTCCTAGTAGTAGTAGTTTATGAGGCTGCTATATAATAATAATAATAATGTGACAATAATCAGCACATTACAAACAGATGACACAACATCTCTGGCAAGAACAAATGTCAGATAAGCAATTAATGCCCTATAAATCACATTAATAAAATTTTAAGATAGAAATAAGAATCCTAATTCTCAAGAAGTATATAATCTTCCATTAGGAGATAATAATAAGCAACTATACTAAAAAGATATTTAATATACAGAAGGCAAAGAAAAGCAAAATTTAAAAAAAATTTAAAAAGGTAGAAGATGGGGCCAGCATTGTGACGTAACAGTTTAAGCCACCACCTGGCAAAGCTAGGATCCCATATGGATTCTGGGTTGTGTCCTGGCTGCTCCATTTCCGATCCAACTCCCTGCTAATGGCCTGGGAAAAGCAGCAGAATACAGCCCAAGTGTCTGTACCCCTGCCACTCAAAAGAGGGGACCTAGATGAAGCTCCTGGCTGGGCCTAGGCCAGCCCTGGCCACTGCAGTCATCTGGGGAGTGAACCAGCAGATGGAACAGCCCCCCCCCCCCCCAGTAATGCTGCCTTGCAAATAAATAAATGAATCTTTAAAAGGAAAAATAAAGGCAGAATATGAATAATAGAGCTTTAAAGAAAGCGGGCTTCGGCCGGCGCCGCGGCTCACTAGGCTAATCCTCCGCCTAGCGGCGCCGGCACACCGGGTTCTAGTCCCGGTCGGGGCGCCGGATTCTGTCCCGGTTGCCCCTCTTCCAGGCCAGCCCTCTGCTGTGGCCAGGGAGTGCAGTGGAGGATGGCCCAGGTGCTTGGGCCCTGCACCCTATGGGAGACCAGGAAAAGCACCTGGCTCCTGGCTCCTGCCATCGGATCAGCGCGGTGCGCCGGCCGCAGCGCGCCAACCGCGGCGGCCATTGGAGGGTGAACCAACGGCAAAGGAAGACCTTTCTCTCTGTCTCTCTCTCTCACTGTCCACTCTGCCTGTCAAAAAAAAAAGAAAAAAAAAAAAAAAAGAAAAAGAAAAAGAAAAAGAAAGCGGGCTTCAACGCACATTCCAAACATTAAGATGTTTACAAGGTTAATTAAGACCAATTCTGGGAAGCTGGTGCTGTGGCTCAGCGGGTTAAAGCAATGGGCTGCAGCACCAGCATCCCATATGGGCACCAGTTCAAGTCCTGGCTACTCTACTTCTGTTCCAACTCCCTGCTGATGGCCTGGGAAAGCAACATAAGATGGCCAGGAACTTAGTCCCCTGTGCCCATGTTGGAGACCCGGAAGAATTTCCTGGCTCCTGGCTCCAACTTGGCACAGTCCCGGCTGTTGCAGCAATCTGTGGAGTCAACTGGCAGCAGAAACATCTCTGTGTGTGTTTTGGTAGGTAGGTGGGTGGGTCAGTGTCTGTATGTGTCTGCCTCTTAAAAAAAAAAAAAACCTGATTCTTAGGCAGGTCTAACTTCAATAGACGAATGCTATGATTCATTAGTAGTGTTTATTGTGGTCATGTGGTGGTGTGAGAAGTAATATCCACAACATGCTCTCTATCAAAAATATTAACACTATCTCAGGGCCAGTGCTACGGCATAGCAGATTAAGCCTCTCTCTATAGTGCCAGCAACTGATATGGCTGCTGGTTCAAGCCCCAGCTGCTCTACTTCCAATCCAGCTCTGGGTTGAATGAGCCAGGGAAAGGAGCAGAGGACATGTCACCCAAGTGCCTGGGCCCCTGCCACCCACATAGGAGACCCGGAAGAAGCTCCTTCCTCCTGGCTTCGGGTCAGCCCAGCTCCAGCCATTGCAGCCATCTGGGAGTGAACCAGCAGATGGAAGACCTCTCTCTCTGCCTCTGCTTCTCTGTAACTCTGCCTTTCAAATAAATAAATATTTAAAAAGAAAAAAATCTGCTAACTGAAGAGTCAAACCAATGATATAAGCACAAACAAAATAGCAGAGCTGTTATTCTTACTCCTAGTATAAGCTCATCAATAAAAAGCTTAAAAACTCACATCACGATCAGATATGATACACTTATTAACACATTAACCACTAATTTCCCTCAAAAAAATTCTCCCCAGGGGACATCGTTGTGGAACAGTAGGAAAAGCTACTGTCTGCAATGCGGGCATCCAATAGGGGCAGTGGTTCAAATCCCAGCTGCTCTACTTACAATTCAGCTCCCTGCTCATGGCCTGGGAAAAGCAGCAGAAGACGCCCCAAGTGCTTGGACCCTGTGGGAAACCCAAATGCTTTGGGCTGGCCATGTGGGGAGTGAAGCAGCAAATCAAATTCTATCTCTCCCTTTCCTCCCTCTCTCTCTCTCTTTCACATAAATAAATAAATCTTTAAAAAAAAAAACTGTTCTGAGATTGGGTGTTTGGAACACCAGTTAAGACACTACTTGGGGGCCAGCACTGTGATACAGTGGGTTAAAGCCCCAGCCTGCAGTGCTGGCATCCCATATGGGCGCCAGTTCAAGCCCCGGCTGCTCCACTTCCAATCCAGCTCTCTGCTATGGCCTGGGAAAGCAGTAGAAGATGTGCCAACTCCTTGGGCCCCTGCACCTGCGTGGGAGACCCAGAAGAAGCTCCCACCTCCTGGCTTTGGATCAGCTCAGCTTTGGCCATTATGGCCATGTGGGGAATGAACCCTTGGATGGAAGCTCGCTCGCTCGCTCACTCTGCCTCTCCTTCTCTCTCTGTGCAACTCTTTCAAATAGGTAAATAAATCTTTTTTTAAAAAAGTGTATAATGCATAAAAGAACTCAAAATGATGCTTCAGGTCACTGAGGTACTACATCAGGAATATCAGTTAGAAAACTGCTACAAGAACCTAGGGAGAGAAACAGTTCAAAGACATATCATGATGTGTCCTCCACTGGAGGCATAAGAACACTGCTTGGGATGCCTACATCCCACATCAGAGTGCTTGGTTCAAGTCGGATTCAATTCTGACCCAGTTTCCAACTAATGCACACCCTGGAGCAGCAGATGATGGATTGAGATCTTAGGTCCCTGACACCAACATCAAAGACTCAGCAAGAGTTCTAGGCTCCTGGTGCTGACCCAGCCCAGCCCTGTTTGTAGAAGAAATGTGGGCATTGAAGCAGTGAGCAGAAGAGATCTCTTTGTCTTTGTCTCTCCCTCTTGCTTCCTCTTCCTGACTTTTAAGTAAAATTTTAAGGAATATAATAAATAAACTCACTGTCTTCGCGTCTTGGGAAGAAATCCTACCATTTCCATGGCCAGCTGTAGGCGTTCAAAGTCATGCCTCAAATCTTCCCCCTCCACCGTGAAGCAATCCTGCTTATGTAAAATAAAACAGGGGAAAATCAAATTACCTCTGAAAGATGTGAAACATTCAGAGCTGCAGTACTTGAAGACATGTAAGCCTATGTATAAATGCAAATTAGGGCTGGTGGAATATGTGAACACACTCAAATTCATGAGACCTCCCTCACTTCATGACATAGTACAAAAACTCAACACATATGCACTGGAACACCAGAATTCTACCTTTTTTCACCCTCCTGCAATCACTAGGACAAAGATCTCAAAAGTGATTTAAGACCTAGCAGCACTTACAAAGTATGCTGATACCAAGTATGATTTTAATCTGTTCTTCAGAGTTTGGGAGATTCAAAGTATTTAAGAGTTTAAATTCACACATAAATGTCATTAATTCAACATATATTTACCAAGTATATACCACAAGCAATACACTGAAGTAGATCTTAGTGACACGAAAATAAATTTCTTTTATTTGGCAGAAAGAGTTAGACAGTGAGAGAGAGAGACAGAGAGAAAGGTCTTCCTTCCATTGGTTCACCCCCCAAATGGCCGCTATGGCCAGCACTGTGCCGATCCGAAGCCAGGAGCCAGGTGCTTCCTGCTGGTCTCCCATGCGGGTACAGGGACCCAAGCACTTGGGCCATCCTCCACTGCCCTCCCAAGCCACAGCGGAGAGCTAGACTGGAAGAGGAGCAACTAGGACTAGAACCCAGCACCCATATGGGATGCCAGCGCTGCAGACAGAGGATTAACCAAGTGAGCCACAGTGCCAGCCCCATAAAATAAATTTTAAAAGAGGCAAGAATTTACTTTAAAAGTTAATGAAAAACTAAAGTATAATTTTCCTTCAGATCAAAACTGTTTTAAATCCATGGCAGAGTTTTTTCATAATGTGTATTTTTTATCAACTTTTTGAAGACCTCTGGTATAAACAGTTCCAAATGAAATCATAAGATGACATGGGGACGGCACCAGGACTCACTAGGCTAATCCTCTGCCCTGTGGTGCCGGCATACCGGGTTCTAGTCCCGGGCGGGGCGCCGGATTCTGTCCCGGTTGCCCCTCTTCCAGGCCAGCTCTCTGCTATGACCAGGGAGTGCAGTGGAGGGCGGCCCAAGTGCTTGGGCCCTGCACCCCATGGGAGACCAGGAAAAGTACCTGGCTCCTGCCTTCAGATCAGCGTGGTGCGCCAGCTGCAGCGCACCGGCCGCGGCGGCCATTGGAGGGTGAACCAACGGCAAAGGAAGACCTTTCTCTCTGTCTCTCTCACTGTCCACTCTGCTTGTCAAAAAAAAAAAAAGAAAAAAAAGAAAAGAAAAAAGAAATCCTATCTTTGCACAAGATGGCCATAACTGGAAAACATTACACTTAGTAAAATAAGCCAATCCAAAAAAGACAAATACCATATGTTTTCCCTGATACAACAGAAATAACAGAATACTTGAAATGTAATATATCACAGGGAAATAGATATTTGGAGAATGGATTGTTCTTTACAGCCCTTGTCTCTTCTACTGAGAAACAAGCTTTTGTTTAGTTTTGTTTCATTTTGTTTTCTTTCTCTTCATACTATTTGCTGACCTCCTTTACTTCGAGTAGGGTTAAGTACATGATCTCTAAGTAAACTGTTAATAGATCACTGTAAAAATCAAGAATAGGAATCTGAATGGGGGGAGGGTTGGAATGTGGGCAGGAGGGAGGGGAAGCTCCATTTTGTTCCTAAATCTGTATATCTGAAATATATGAAACTTGTATACTTAAATAATTTTTTTTAATGACATGGGGAAAGAATAAATTACATGTGAAAGTAAAAGTCTGCAACTGGCTCTGTGGCAAAGCAGGTCAAGGTACTGCCTATGATGCTGGCATCCCATCTGTGTACCAGATCATGTCCTGGCCACCCCACTTCTAATCCAGCTCCCTGCTAATCCACCTGGGGAAGTAGCAGAAGATGACCCAGGAGCTTGGGCCCTGCATCTAACAACTATGTTCAGGATGGGCATTTCACCCAGCAGATAACGTGCCAATTAAGTCGCCAGGTCCCGGGGCCAGCACTGAGGCGCAGCAGGTTTAAGCTGCAGCTTGCCGGCGCCGCGGCTCACTAGGCTAATCCTCCGCCTTGCGGCGCCGGCACACCAGGTTCTAGTCCCGGTTGGGGCGCCGGATTCTGTCCCGGTTGCCCCTCTTCCAGGCCAGCTCTCTGCTGTGGCCAGGGAGTGCAGTGGAGGATGGCCAGGTGCTGGGCCTGCACCCATGGGAAGACCAGGAAAAGCACCTGGATCCCTGGCTCCTGGCATCGGATCAGCGGCGGGTGCGCCAGCTGCAGCGGTGGGCATGGGAGGGTGAACCAACGGCAAAGGAAGAGCTTTCGCTCTGTCTCTCTCTCTCACTGTCCACTCTGCCTGTCAAAAAAAAAAAAAAAATAAAATAAAATAAAAAAAAAAAAAGCTGCAGCTTGAAGAGCTGGGCCCCTACACACACATGTGAGATACGGAAGAAGCTCCTGGCTCCTAGCTCCAAATCAACTCAGCTCCAGCTGCTGCGGCCATTTGAGGAGTGAACCAGCAGATACAGACCTCTCTCTCCCTGTCTCTACCTCTCTCTGTAACTCTTTCAAATAAATAACTTTCCTCTCTCTGTAACTCTTTCAAATAAATACCTTTAAAAAAATATATAAAAACCTTCAACATAGATAGTCCATGACACAGTAAAGAACAGTTATGCAGTACCAGATTAAAAGTAGATATTACTTTCTAAGTGTAACCCTTGCATTTCATTACAAAAACAGTCCAACAGTAACCCAACAGACAGTATCAAAATTTTCAAGAAAATACTTGAGTCAGTGAGTGCCTTCACTGGTTGTTCTCATTCCTCACACTAGTGAGTTTACTAGGTAATGCTTATTTTCCTGAAGAAACAACTCACTGGACACAGGAACCTTGACTATCTTATTCACATCAGATCACCAGTAAGTAAAGGCCAAGAACACAAGGAGTTACTGAAGAAAATAATCACTGAATTATTGAATAATGCATGAATACTGAATGGAATAACTCCTTTTTGAGAAATAAACAAAATTCTCATTTACCTTCATTAATTTTTACAAAAGTTTTGTTGAGTATCAATCATGTATAAAATAACTTTTTTAGGCTCTTAAGAATGAATTAATATACCTAGACACAGGGTTTAAAATTAAATATTAAATAGAATGCTGGTAACAGTATCTTTATTCCCTATATGAAAAGGTACAACACAGTTTGAAATTTAAATTCACTGGAAGAAAAGTTCTAAGAACATGTACTTAATTTTCTAAAAAAAAAAAAAAAAAGTTAACAATTCCAAGACACAATTCACAGATATACCAGTGTCCTACTCAAAAAACTAATTTTAATATATTTCTCTTTTAACTATAGAATTTTTGGGGGGCCAGCGCCGCGGCTCACTTGGCTAGTCCTCCACCTGCGGCGCCAGCACACCAGGGGTTCTAGTCCCGGTTGGGACGCCAGTTCTGTCCCGGTTCCTCCTCTTCCAGTCCAGCTCTCTGCTGTGGCCCGGAAAGGCAGTACAGGATGGCCCAAGAGCTTGGGCCCTGCACCTGTTTGGGAGACCAGGAGGAGGCACCTGGCTCCTGGCTTCGCATTGGCGCGGCGTGCTGGCCATAGCGGCCATTTGGGGGGTGAACCAATGGAAGGAAGACCTTTCTCTCTGTCTCTCTCTCTCTCTCTAACTCTACCTGTCAAATAAGTTAAAAAAAAATTATAGAATTTTTTGAAAAGCACTTTTGTTTCTCTTTCTTCTGCCAAAATACAAACAGCTCATTCCTTTTATAATTGCGTAAACTTTTTTTTTTTTTTTTTTTTTTTGGAAAGGCAGGGCTAGACAGTGAGAGAGAGACAAAGGTCCTCCCTCCGCTGGCTCACTCCCCAAATGGCCGGTGTGCTGTGCCAATCCAAGCCAGGAGCCAGGTGCTTCCTCCTGGTCTCCCATGCGGGTGCAGGGCCCAAGCACTTGGGCCATCCTCCACTGCACTCCCGGGCCACAGCAGAGAGCTAGACTGGAAGAAGAGCAGCCGGGACAGAATTAGCGCCCCAACCGGGACTAGAACCCGGGGTGACGGCATTGCAGGCGGAGGATTAGCCTAGTAAGCCGTGGCGCCAGCCGTGTAAACATTTTTCTATAAAAAACAGGTAGGGGGCAAAAATCTAGCTTCTACTGTACAAACCCAATTACACATCCAAGATTCCTCTGACAGTGTTCCTATCTGGCTCAAAAATGAGTGGCAACAATTACGGCTTATAAAATACTGGCAAAGTGGGACTGGGGCCGTGGCACACTGGGTTAATCCTCCGCCTGTGGCACCAGCATCCCATATGGGCGCCGGGTTCTAGTCCCAGTTGCTCCTCTTCCAGTCTAGCTCTCTGATGTGGCCTGGGAGGGCAGTGGAGGATGGCCCAAATGCTTGGGCCCTGCACCTGCATGGGAGACCAGGCAGAAGCACCTGGCTCCTGGCTTCGGATCGGCATAGCGCACCAGCCGTAGTGTTCATTTTGGGGGTGAACCAACGGAAGGAAGACCTTTTCTCTCTGTCTGTTTCTCACTGTCTATAACTCTGTCAAATTAAAAAAAATATATAAACTGGCAAAGCAAACTGAAAGAGGCACTGAAATTTAAATACACTGGTATTCGCTGCTACCATTATTAATCAAATGATCTGTAGAAATACGAAATAAGATTAGTAATCATCAAAACATAATTAATTTCTAAAATCTAACACTGATGACCTTAGCTGTTCAAAATGACAACTATAGAAGAAAATGCTACAAACAGATGAAATCTACCAAACCAGAAATGTTATTATCTCAACATGGTTTCCCTGCAAGTAGAGCCTGAACAGACCTAGATGCAAGTACACGTAGCACAGGAGCTTAGAAAGTAAAACAGGGAAGCAAAGGTGGACCCAACAGGGAACACTCGGAAGACAGGTGCCACAGTGGGTGACAGGAGTTCAACCCCAA